TATCCATCCGGGTATTTTCCTCGGACGGGCACTATGGGCTGATAGTGTGTCTCCACGGATGAACACTATCGCGTCACGTGATCAATTTAAACCAATAACGCGTGATAGTTGATGAGGGCGTAGCCCGAGTCACCTATCTAATTGTTTTAGTATAAATCTACCAGTCGTGCAAAACTTTATCCAAATCCTCTTCAAAGACACTTTGTGCGAAAACGCAAAGAAGCGGCTTTCGGTTTGTTAACAAGTGCACACTGCTAGGCTACTCGCTTTCTACAACAGTATATAGAGTGATTAGAGTAGCCAATCAGCGAACGGCATTCGTGATCGGACGCGGCTAGTAGATTTATACTAAAACTCGATAGAAACACAGAACTAGATAGCACGAGCTGTTGGCGCATTGATGGCGCGAGCAAAGAGAATTTACATTTTGATGATCAAAGTAAACAAGTTGGACATAACGCAGTTGCCTAGTTTTCCTTTATGTACGTTCCACGTACCCTAATCGCATCCTCAGCCTGTCTAATTAGATTCGTGAAAAGACTGAATGCTCTGATGTTCCAGGAGACGTACTTTCTTCCATCTTACAGTTACATTGTTACTTGAATCTTTCTCGCTTATTTCTCGCCGTTTCTTTATTTTGTAAGCACGTGATCCTAGGTGACAATGCAAAACTACAAGCTCAAGGAGCGGATGCGGTCCAAAATTTTTCTGACAGCTCTCCCCGTGGGGGAGGTGGAGGAGGCGTCATTGCAATCTTCTACAATGAGGGATTAGTGGGAGACCCTCCGACTCCAGGTGTAGACACCAAGGGAGGAGTTGGCACCACTTCAGGGGATAACGGTCTGGTAGTTTTGAACGGTATGGTGCTATAACTATTACTTTTAGGAACAGTAATCAAATCATGCCAATACGTGAAATTTTTTGTCCGAAATAAAGATGGTGGCTGTACGTGTAATTTTACCACAGCACCTTCCTAACCTAACACAGCCTAACACACTGGGCTTGATACAGGGAAAATTAATGGGCTAAGGAAAGCCATATTTTGGCAGTTTTTGTCCGTGTACTAATGACGTCATGATGTATACTAGGTTTGAAGATTTTAGAACCTTTCGTCACGGTTTTATAATTTTCTTGTGCTAAGAATTATGGGTAAATATACCATTCGCCATCTTTGTTCCTTCAGAGGATAACCCGAGGTAATAATTTCATGACCATTTTGTCAACATTTTAATCATTTCCAGAGTTTGAAGGATTCGCATGTCTTCCCCATTCTTCGGACTTGACAGTTCTTGACGTCATACACTATTGAATGCTTGTAATCGACTGAATTCGAAAAAAGTGGCTAATAAGGTTCTTTGAAACAAATTTTATAATTTCGTATGTGAAACTACAAATGAACGATTGTATTTCTACAGCAATTAGGAATAAATTTGTCATTCCTTGTATAGTTATTTATATTTATTTCTGTCACAAGCTCTAGACCGAAACGATTGATGAAAAAGATCAGCGAAGGAAAAAGTCGAACGAAATTCTGTTGTGTTTGATCTATAGGATTTTTGATGCGTTTCTTCGATATTTTCAGTTAGTCAGCGTTTAATTTTTTTTCTGTATACTGCTGATATAGGGACCCGGTATTACGGATTTCCATCGCTGGGTAAGTTTCTGTGTTAGAAACATTTACAAGACTGTTGTTATCAAAGGATTTGACACAACTCTAGGACAACAATTTAATTTGTAAATAGTTGACTATCCCTGGATAAGCTAGAAGAGAGAAACCTTTGTAGGCCAGTGAGAACTGAATTCAAGCCGCGCCCCATTTTCTTCAACTTTGCACTAAAATGCTGGCATAGATTTCCAGGTCTCGCCTTTTTGAATGGGGTAAAACATCCTCCGTACCTGAAGACGAGAGAGTCCTAAAAGGCAATAGGATCCTATTTTGCGGGTGTAACTTGGATTCATTCACTGTCCTGATTATACTAAAGACGAGGGACATTACCATTCTCTGAAGCGTGCGGTCTTGTTTTAATTAAGTTTTTACCACCGACTGTTAAACTTCAGTGGTTTGCGAAGGCGGTTGTATAAAAGCTCTCTGACAGCCACTACGAATACAGAAATGTATATTGAACTTTAGGACCTTTTCCATTCTTACTGTACCGATTGTCGTTGTCGTTTTCCCCTTCTTTCTTACAGTTATCGAAGCGGGAGAAATCTCTATGGGCTGCGTAATTTTCAACTCTTCCTCACTTTCGCCTTTTCACGAAGTGGATCTCAAAGCTCACGAAGAGGCACCTTCGAAATGTGTCGAAGAATGCCGTACTTCGAAATATCATTACGCTTTAATCCGACGTAAAGCCTGCAAATGCACCAATCATAACTCGACTCTGCAACAAGTGGACGTATCAAGATGCTCTGTGAGATGCTGGTCAAATTCTTCACTGATTTGTGGTGGCGAGCAGCCTTCTGAATATAGTGCATACAGGACAGGTAAGAATGATACGGTTAAAGATCTTAATTCACCACTCCGCCGATAGGGCTTTTCAGAGCTAATGAAACCAAATGATGAAACAAATAATGCAAAAGGACATAACATGGCTAAAAATCCCAACTGGCAAGAGGCAGACCAGTTGGTTATTTACAAACCTGGCCGAGAAGTTGAACTAGGTTCTACCGAGGAGCAACTCCAGCTTAGTGGTCGGAGCGGGACTTGAACCCGGGGCCTCTGAGTTTCAAGTCCGGCGCCCTAGCCACTCGGCCACGCTGCCTCCTTAAAAGTAAATCTCTCTGGGAACTTTGCTTAAACGTTTAACTTTTGGGTTCACAGCCACCTGAAATTTACGAAAATTTAAGGTTTCTCAGAATCCTCTTTTAAACTTTGCAAAAGTTGTATCTTATCTTGCTTATTACATTTCTACGACTGTCACTAGAATAACTGTCAGTAGACTTGTTTTTTAGTTAAAGCTGACGTTAAGGGTGTTTTAACAGGTTATACTGTTGTTATAGCAACCTGTTTTAAAAAAAGCATGGGCACAACTTTCTGTCAATGATTGCGCAGCTGTATGACGTCATTATTGTAGCTGATCATCCAACACAGAGTGGTAGTTCTGATCCAGCAAAGCATAAATTATGAAAAGAACTGGAAACTATTGTCAGCCACCTTAGATTGACCTAAAGAAGAATACCCGCGATCTTTATTAGTTGTTTGATAAAAAGGCATGGTTAGACGTTACGGGAAGGATTTTTTCCGCAATTAAACCGTCGTGGTATATTATCCGTGCCTGTCACTTACTGTTTCGTTTTAGCGACTGAAAACAACATTGCACAAAGTTATTTCGTGGTCAGTTTGATCGGGACATTTCGTTACGTCAAAGATAGGGTCTTTTGGAATTAAAACTTCAGCATTGATCACAAAGATAACCCGATTATTCTGATGGAACTGTTTATATTATATGGACAATTGTGGGAGTTAGAAGAATTTGTGTTAATTCAACAGCTGATGAAACCGTGGGTGATACGAATAATGGTGTTTTGCAAATAAAATGACAGCTGATCAAGTTTCGCTAAAGAAAGAGGGGCTCCCATTTTAATTGCAAAGTTATGAATCTCCAAATACAGAGATAATTTTCACGCCTTTTCAAACCGTTGCGGTCTAAATATTTTCTTTCTTTAAGTCGTTCGTTTATACTTCGTTTTGTTTCTTTCCTTTGGGCTACAGCTCGCACCGGCTAATCTTTTGAACTTTTCTCGAAATACAGAAGCCGCCTTACAGTTTAGGGCTGTTTAACCGGTTTGCACTCATTAAAAAAGGTCACCACTCCTTCCCCCCAGGAAACACACAACACCACTGCCAAACAATTCACGGATTAAACTGTGTTACCGACCTCAGCTCAGGCAAGCATTTTTAGGTGGATTCAAATTTAAATTCGGTGTGTAGTGGCTTATGGCTTATGAGACATCAGACTTCTACTCACCAGCTGGCTTTATAGCTATAATCAAGACTTCAATTTCCTGTTGCGTTTTGAGATCTTCTGTACTTACCGATAAGAGCGCCATCGTATTTGTCCTCTTGTCCGAAGGATAGGGACGTTAATTTATCTCTGTGCCCGAAATTTTGGTGATTCAATATTGTCCTCAATTTAACATCTCGTAAAAAGGGAATCGAAAGTGAAAATCTAGTAAGAAAGTTCAAAAAAGTATTTTTGTTTGAGAGTTTAGCTCCCTTTTTACTTTCTATCTTAATCCTAAATAAAGATTTAAAAAATTGATTGACACTTTGTCAACTATCGTGAAAGCCAGCGAAATGAGCGATACTTCGATGCCAAAATTATTTTTTCTATTTTCGGTGGAACAAAGTAGTTCCCTCAAAACCTTTTCAAATTTGGAGTTCGGATTAACTTTAAATTCTTTCAATTTGCACTTCGAGTGGCAAAGCTGACCGAAAACCCAATTTTGGCCTTTTTTTTTGTTTTCGCATGCGAGGAATTGATAATGATATTCGCGGAAAATTAAAACTACCATAAACAGCCTCAGTAAATAAAGTGCTGTATGTTTAATTAACAAAAGCAAACCGCAAAATGACATCGGCCAATATCTAATCGTGATGGAGTTCACGAAGGTCTCGAATTTCGAAGTAAATTAGTTTTGCAAATTTTGAATTAAACCGTTATATTGCATGCTATTTAGTCACGGTTTAAGGTAGTGGGGAATCGAGCTACTGTAGGTTATATTCTCCGTCGCGAAGATAAATCGACGGATGCGAAGTTATCTTGAATCTGATGTCAGAAGTGAGACGAAATAGTCTGCCAGATACCTGAGTTTGGAAGAAGAATACAGCAGAAGCAATTACCGAACCGTTCTAAATTTGAGGTCAAAATTTCATCTTCCATTTTTTTCCGAACACTTTCGTTGAGCGTTGGTCGGGTTGAAATTGCTGGGCTAACAAAGTAATCAGTACACACTTATTGGCAAGTCGTCAAAGTCAACTCAAAACTGCCATTGTATCTAGCAAAATATGATGAATAGCTCCACAACTGAAACAGTGAGAGTAGCAGAGACCGTCGCTCCACCAGCCATGAGCGACGCGCAGTGCGCTCATTTGAGTAAAGTTTTGCCGCAGGATGGCGACCTGTTCACTCCTTATGTTATCAACTGTGTCATAATGTCCGTTCTCAGTGGAACAGCAGTATTAGGAAATGTTTTAATCTTGATATCGCTCTGCAGAGCTCCTCAATTTTTGCGACAGCCGTCGTATTTTCTTTTGCTCAATCTCGCCTTTGCTGATTTGTGCGTTGGTTTCGTGGCTGAACCGCTCTACTTGATCTACAAGATTTCCTATTTGTTAAATCCATTTTCTATTTTATCCTGTTACGCCGGGGTTGTGTTCAACTTCTTTTCCTATTTTTTAACATCTCTATCGCTTTGGACCGCCGCAGCAATTTCGCTGGATCGACTTTTGGCACTTCTTCTCCATATGAAGTACTCCGCAAGTGTAACAAAGAGGAAAATTATTGTGTTGATTGCTGTATTATTGGTACTCAGTTTCGCTTTCGCGTCCATGTTTCAGTGGGCACTCAACGCACAGAACACTGTATTCGTGTGCGTGAATTCTCTAGCGCTGATAATAGCCTTCTTGTCTTACGTGAGGATTTTTCAAATCATGCGTTATCACCAAAGACAAATTTCAAATCATCAGCTTGGCGAGATCTCGATCACGGAGAGGGGTGAAACCGATTCCGTAGGTACTTCTTTTCACGGACACGAAATGAGAGAACAATTGAAAGAAGTTGCTACCGAAGCTAACGGAAATGAAGGAACAGTCGATGGTAAGGAAGGGACCGAAACGAGCGCAGCGCGTGAAATCGAGCAACATAGATCGTATCACCTTCAATTACATGAGAAGGCAACAAGCGCGTCTTCTCTAAGAGAGGGTTTGAAACACCATCCACAGCATATACAAACGAAAACTGCGCGATCCAAAAATCTAAGCAAAATCGACGAACAGCCTGAAGACCTTAAAAATGTGGTAATTAAAGAGGACACATCTAAATTTGTGAAAAGTACACAAAAAAACCTGCCATTTGACGCGTCAGCTGTTACAAAACCATCGCAAACAGACATTTCTGTCCTTGGCAACCTGTATCATGGAACGGAGCAAAAACGTGTGGGGCCAGAAATAGCGGAAGGAAGCGAAGAATCGCGAGCAGACGAAGGTAGCCGAAATTTCCTAGCAGAGAACAGCAGCAGTGGATCGCGCCAGGACAAACAAGTCAGTAATTCAGCACTCGTCTTGACCGAAATGCAGGCTTTGAAAGTAATGCACGAAGATGAGAACAAATCCGTGAAAAGTAACATACTGCCGAGAGAAAGTTGCACCCTTGGAGAAAAACGAACTGAAACCAGGTCGTTAGAGAATAAGATTCAGAATAGCGCTGTTGTAAAGGAAAAAACGCCTGCTTTGTTAAGCGGAGAAACACAAGAACTAAAAGATAACACGACTGTTTCAGCCTTCACTCTCGACCGTCAACGGAGTTCTACAAACAATGAAATAACAAACGCCGATTTAATTGCCAACAAAACTAGAAAAGGATTCAAAATGAGGCATTTCAAAAAGTCATTTTACAACATGTTCGTCATCTGGTTTCTGATGCTACTCTGTTATCTCCCTGGCATATGTACATCTATGCTCTTTTTGTTGATGGGCCGTAGTCACGCGATGCATTTAGCATTTAATTTCACTACCTCTGTGATGTTTTTGAATTCTAGCATCAACCCCATTGTGTTCTGCTGGAGAATAAGAGAGTTTCGCGCCGCTGTGAAGAAGACCCTGAAAGACGTGTTTGGCATTTGGAGCAATCAGAGTAGCTAACATAATAACATTGGGGGCTCTTAAAACTTGAAAACCTTCAATTTACTTTGACAAATCTTTACACATTTAAGAAAATCCATTAGTGTATTATGTGTTTTGAGCACGATCTTATAGCAGCGTCGACAGCTAAATAAATACGATCGAGCTCTCGTTGCGCAGCGAATTATCATTTACAAAGCGTCGTTGTTTTGTAGTTTTGCTGTTATGTTGTTCCTTAAGTCGAAGTAGAGCAGTAAAAAACGGTTAAAAGTGATTTTTGAACGCGTTTTTCAACAACCATATGCCATTTTATCTCATCATCTATGCAAAAATAGTTTGTTTTTTTCTCACAAAAGTCAAGTGCTATATAGCCTTATTTAACCTCTCAGAAAGGTTTGTTTGAGTGACATGGGATGAAGTTTCGCACGTAAGAAGCTGTATTATTAAATATGACCATGACATGAGTATATCGTCAACCTGTGTCTTTCTTCGTAGTTCCGAAATTCTAGTATCGCAAAATAAAAGAAAATTTATTATTTGCTGAAAGGAAACTAAGAACTGGAAAATAAAATTAGAATGAACTTGTCACTAAATATTTTCTGCTTCTAAAATGTATATCGACATAATCACGTCACAAAATAAAACGCAATCTTCTGCGGTACAAAAGATTGCGTTTTATTTTGTCAAGACACTGTTTGCCACAATGATCATTTATTACTTTAAGGGCAAAAAACGAAACTTTTCCCTTAATTTACTGTCACGCTTTGGGTTTCACTTGACTATCAAAACAAGAGACTATATTCTTATTCTCGGTATTGGACTGGGACTAGCTTGCAATGGAGGCTCAATGGAGGCTCGTTTTTTATTTTTACTCAAACTCTCTCCAGTTTGTTATCCAGTCAGAAGGAAAATCGTAACCAATCTATATCAGGACTTGCGCGCACGCATTTTCCCGCGCCTCGCGTCAGCTACATGTATGTGCTCGGAGTTTTGATTGGTTTAATGGATTACCATTTGTGATTGGCCAGACTGATTGCTTTGGTTTTGGTTTTACGTTACTAAATTGAAAATCGCTCTAATTTCAAGCAATTTATTAGACAATCTGAGATTTTCACCCGAAGAAACTTAATAAATGTCTGTCTTTTTATGATTTCGTGGAAAAATACTATTGCAATTATCATTTCTATCCACGAAAAGGAATCCACCCCCAGGGGATTATGGTCAAAAGTAAAAGAGTGTCTAAAATGGCAACGTGTTCAATTACAGAGTAGCCTCGGTAACACAATCACCAACAGGTACCCAAAGTGTCGTATGCATCGCCACCTGTCTCGAGCTGGGTTGGCCGCATTGAATTCGAAGAGTTTTAGAAATAATAAACTGACCTATTTACCTGGGCAGACTAATATTGTGTCTTAGACGTATTTTAAATTCAAAAAAGGTAGCCACATTAAACGTCAGCCGAACTTAACAATCAAGGTTTTACGCGTTTGGAGAACGCCTTAATTAGTTTAATTCGTCTAGGTTAATACGAGACGCTTTAAACAGACTAACGGAGCTAAACTGTGATTCCGCCCAAGAAGTAAAATTTGAGATAGAATCAAGCGTCTTAACAGTCTCTCTCACAATATTAAGGAGTAGGGGGAGGGGGGGGGGGGGGGGGGGGGGGGTGGGGGTGGGGGTGAGCACAATAGTCTTAAATTATTCGTTTCCTATTTACCAAGACGCAGTGAATTAATGTTAGACGCATTATTCATCTTTTTAGGTAAATACAGCCATTAATTAATTGACTGGGTGTCTAGAAGGTGTATATCCCGTTTAGGTCGTAATCAATGTCTATTTAATTTCCAGGTTACATTTTTTCATCTTCGTCCGCGGTAATGAGCAGCGCTACGCCGGTAGCCAGTGCTGTTTTACCAAGTAAGACCTCTGTGGTAGTGATGGCCTCGTCTTCAGTCTCTCTGGCAACAGAATCAACAAACGAACCAACAACAGAACCTACAAAAGAGTCGACCACACCTTCCGAAGAACCAACAACTAGATCACCCACCGAACCATCGGAAAAGGTAATTCATTCATTTTGAAAAAGGTGTTGAAAATCTACTCCTTCCTTGCAACATTGGACTTACATGCTTGAAGTAGATCTATAAACCGTCCTGTTAAATGTGCAAATGAACTGTTTACAGTAACCATTCATTTATTTCTTCTCAGTATTCGCCCTCATTAAGCTTATTTTTTTCCGTTGCCTGGTGGTCCGTATCCTGTAAGTACCATGCGCTCGAGTTGGGTGTGAAAATAATAAATCTCAGCTACCACAAAGTATAAATATTTAAGATGAAAAATAAGAAATTAACTGCTCTCCGTGGTTGATGCGTGGCACTTAAAATGGATACTGAAATTCAAAAGAAAATAAAAATAGAAAACTGATAAGGTAGACAAATGTAAAAAGGAGTCATCTCGTGAAAAATCACAAATGTTTCGAGTATAGCCCCTCTACAGTATGAGAAACGTAAAGTACACTGTGAAGGTATTTGTACATAAAGTTTTAAATGGGATGCTTGTAATAAAGCTTCATTACAGGAACTGAAGTTGCAAAATCTGAACGATTCGTAAATTGTGATGGATGAATTAATAGCAGTGAAACCATAAACTGAATCAGGTGTTTTTTTGGTTGGAATGTTGAAAGTAAACAGGCAATTACTTTGGTTTTGGTTTTTCTACGATTTGAAGTGTAATGAGTAGTCTAACTGGTAAGCAATTGTTAAGATTTGGTTTTATGACACTCAATTGAGACCGCTCTAAACTATTTTTAAAACAAGTTTTATTGAACTCTGTGATGTGATTTAAAAATTAACACCAGAGATAACTTATACTGGGAAAGTGTTTTAGTAAGCTGCTTTTACTCAGACCTATTAGATGTGCTACTGTTAATTTCTTGTTTTTATAGTTTAAAGAAATTGCAAATGCAACTATAACAGAAAAGAACGTGGTTGTCGTGGTAAAACAGCTGAAAAACTTGACGAGCGAAGAAACGCTGAATGGTGGAGACACGAAAGTCGCACTGGAAATCCTGCACAAAATCACCTTTAATGACAGTTTGCTTCCTAAAAACAAAAGCGAAAGACAAAAGTTAGGACAGGTCAGTATATTAAGAACAAATTCCCCCTGTGAATGTTTTATTCTGAACATTTGAAACCTGTTACCTATCCTTCTCATGCCACGTGGCACATAGGGCCTTAACAGGGGTCTTCCACTGTTCTCTGTCTGCTGCAATCATCCTCGTTTTCCCCCATGATCTCCACCGTGCCTCTTTAAGTTCCTTTTCAACTGTTCATCGCCATTTGAAAACTAATTACAGTATCTAGTTTTGAGTCCCGAGTAACTGTTGACGGTAATTTTCTCAAACTCATTAATAATTCATGAAGTTTAAACAAAGAAAATCATGACCGTTACGGTTTTTGGATATCTGATCTTCATTAGCATAGATTTTATACGATTTTATGTCTCTGTTTTACTTTCAATTGAGAAGATATATCAAGCACTCAGGACAGTGTTTGACTACATTTCCAAAAACCTCGAAGTTCGTCAAAAATAATCCGTTACGTGACGTGTTTTCAACTCTTTTCTCGGTGTTTGAAAATGTAGTCAAACACGGTCTTTCGTGTTTGATTTATTACGTCTAATTTTGTCTTAAGAGTCTTTTTGGCGTCTTTCGCGTGTAGAGCATGGGTTAGCTTTTCGAGCTTCAGATGAGTGAGCGAGGATGTTTTGGATTTTTTTCTGCAGCCGGCAAAATGGAGACTGTTGTAACCTAAGGGTGGTCTTTCAATACAAAACGACGAAAAATGGGATCTTTTTCAAAATGTGATTTTTTTTTCTGCTAACAATTGAAAAATTCAGCCTATTGAAACTTAATTAATCACCCACCTTAGAAGCTAAGCCATGGTTTCAATTAGTAACATTAGTAAAATTAATATTCCTCCCTCTCACTAGCTGGCAAACGGTTAGAATTTTGTATTTTTTAAAAAAATGTTGTCAAGAACAATTCATGCAAAGTTACAATTCTAGTTCAGACTTTTAAGGTGTGCAGCCCTTTGTACAAAATTAATGAGAACAGCAAGTTATAGTGGCAGCTCACAAAGGTAGAGGAGATTGGGTAGCGGGAATTGGGTAAAATTATTTTTGCTAGGTTACGTAAAGGAGGGGAACCAGTGGTTCCCACAAAATTTTTTAAACCAGATATTTACTAAATGTGCCTGTTTCGTTTTAGAACATCCTTGAGGTTGCTAGCTCACTTTTGTCGAAGAAAAACATCGATAACTGGGGAGTACCAACTAAGAAAGATAATAACACAGGAGGGGTACGTACCACTTTCGAATTTAATTTTTACCACAATTGCTACAAATCTCGCAATCTGATTGGCTAATTTGCCGTTGTCGATAAGAGTTCAGACAACGCTGCTCGCGTCAATGTGTTGTGGACTCACACGGCTGCGCCTCGTGAGACAACATTTTGCCCACTGTGATGATGGTATCGTTGTCTATAAGAGTACAGACAACGCTAAACCACATTCGGTTTGTTAATTTTACGATAACTGCAGAAATTTTAGCGCTAGTTTTCATTGTCAAGAAGCGAACAGACACGTGAACTTATAATTTATGCGATGCGAGCGAGAGCGGACAATTTGACAATTTGTTATCGTAAAAAAAAAAAAAAAAAATTGACGTCAACTCCCTTGAAGGGAATGATGTTCTCAATAACGTTCTAAATTGCCGCTGTTTTGTTTTTTAACCGCGCGGCCATGGGCCGAGCGCGGTTCTAGGTTTACCCGTGGTTTATTNTGACGTCCCAAACTCAGGTTTTGGAACTGGTAGAAAACATTGGTTTGAAAATTGGCGAACAACTTGACAACAACGCTAGCTTAGTCATCGAGAGTCAGAACATCGGTATGTAAATATTTGTTTGTAACTTTCTTATAAGTCATCAACTAAACTTATTTCAATCCCTATAACAAGAATGTTAGTTCTGTGCGTGCTTTCCACACAAGATCGATGATATCAGTCCGCCATCTTAAGAGACGGGAAGAAATCTGGGACGTCTCGACCATCTTGCATTCACTTATCGGGTTGCTTCTGGCTGGAGACAACATTGCTTCTCGTCTTTTCTTTGGGTCAGTAACTTCCCACAAGCAAAAACAAGACTGATGAGGCTCGTCCCAGATTTCAATCAATTTTCAAGTGGCGAATGAAAGAAATGCACTCGCAGTTTTAGACGCGTATGTTTACGGGCCCGAACGTTCGCTTCACACGGACTCACGGCTCTACGATCTCAATATACCTCTTCTGCGAACTTCTGAGTAAATAGATAGACTGCAGTGCAGGAAACTAAATTTCCACATGTACAGCAATCGCCATTCGGGCGAGTGACTCTCAAATGTACTCGCCCGGTGTAATTTTCACTCGCCTAGGACATAGCTGACAGAGGGGACTCTACCGACTATGCCCGGAAAGTTGTTTCCCCTCCACTTCAAAAAAATCTCCGCAATGATTCACAAACCATACTTTTTTGTCGGTATCTCGTATGTATAATCATGGACACCCAGCTTGCCATTTCGTGTTGAGCTTTCTCATTCTGGTTCATTTATGCGATGTCTCCTTAGGATCGCGGACCGATTTTACTGTTTTAATCTCGATTTTATCATCAACTTTTGACACTCCTTGGACATATTTCCAAATTTCCATAGTTTATAACAAAACAGCTACACGAGCAACTGGCACTAATATGTACGTGGTCAAGTTCCTTGACCTTGCTTCTGCACATTTTGACTGGAGTTCTATACACGCTTATGCACCAAAGGATCAAAGTATTTCTAACTATAAAAAGGACACAACTATGTATAGGTTATGAAGTATTGTCGTTTTACTTTCATGCTTTATGCAGCTCTGTGAGAGGCGCAGTTGCCTCATGGTTAGTGCGAGCGGTCCAGGTTCGAGCCCTGGCTGGGGACATTGCGTTATGTTCTTGGGCAAGACACTTTACTCTCACAGTGCCTCTCTCCACCCAGATGTATAAATGGGTACCGGCGAATTTAATGCTGGGGGAACCCTGCGATGGACTAGCATCCCATCCAGGGGGGAGTAGAAATACGCTTAGTCGCTTCATGCTACAGAAACTGGGATAAGCTCCGGCCTGATGAGCCACTTGGTTCGTATGCAGACTTTACCGTTACCTTTTTTATACAGCTATGGGCGTGGAGACAAGAGTCCCTGACGAGACAGCTCTGGGTGCAGAATATCCTAATTATGGTGAACTCAGCTCTGAATGGAAAGGACACGATTGCGTGTTTGTACACAAAGAACTTTTCGATGAAATGGCCACAGGTTTGTTCTGTCCTATTTTGTGGAAAAAGATGAGAGAGCTGATTTTTTGCGATTGGAATTGTTCACTGTGTTGAAAGTTTATATATATCTCTTCAACATCTTTATTAGAATTCTGTAATCTCAGTCTACCCCAGTATATAGCGTGATTGTATTTTCCAGAGAATGTTTTCATATTACCTGGAATATTTGCCCTTTACAAGTTTCAAATTTTACAGCGAAACCATTCTGCCAATAGGCAATTGCGCATGTGACTTTGAAACGCTGAAATGCGACGACAATGAGGTCGATCTAACGAACGATGTTATCTCGATGTGCTACCAAATTCTCTGAACTAACTTTGATAGAAATTTATGAAAATCAGTCAAGAGAATTAATATTAGTAGATCTAGTAAATGATTTGAACAAAGAATTATCGGTGGTTCGTATAGTGTGATCGTCCGGGTGGGGGTAGTTCTGAAAAGAACTGTTGTTCAGTGGTGACTGACGTTTCGACAACCTGAGGGGAGGTCGTCTTCAGAGTCAAGTTATAGGTGTTTGCCAGTAGATGATGTTATAAGTCTGATCCTTTGAAGCTGATTGGTCAGTTTTCCGTGATAGTATGGCTGTAAGACTCATTTCCGTAACGTTTGTCAGCAGTCATTGGTCGAATTGATATTGCAAGATCGTTTTTATTTCGTAGACAAAAGCTCAAGAACAACAGTTGTATACGCCCTCTACAACCAAATAAGTGAACTTTTTCCCGCAAACACAAACAACAAAGAAAGGTAAGTTTTTATTATTTCACAAATATTTTGGCCTCCCTCCTTAATTTCAGCCGTTTCCTCAAATCACACATTCCCAAAAAGGCTTCAGGCTCGCATCGTATATATAGTATTGCGGAAATGCTTGTGATGCATTCTGTTCATTGAATAGCTACAGTCCTATTTCAATTTCCTCTAAATATGCCCGTTTATCAACTGTGTTTAAAAGTATCCTTTAGCCGCGCAATAAGTACTTTTTTGCCGTGAATTTCTATTTTTATCGCAAATTCCCTATTCCTTGTTATTATTCTCATAAAAATGATTGCAAGCGCGGTGAATCAAGGCTATTATCACTATTATCGCCACTCCTCCAATCAAGCATTGAAAGTCCATATTGTCTGGATCACAGGGCCTTGTGTTCTACATGCTAACAGACTCCCGGCCACCTTATGATGTTTGTATGCGTGTTTGCATACATGCATGACATTTCCAACACATCTTTCACTTTTCACTTCCCTAGAGCTTGCTTTAATTTCCCTGTTTAATCTTAATACGTAGTTTGATTGGTATATGTCATCTTCTTTCAGCTCCAAAGATCTGATCGTGAACTCTCGAATTCTGGCATTGAAATTTAACAAACAAACTAGCCCTCCGTTCAAGAAACCCATAAAATTGTGGTTTGATAAGCTAAAGGTATGTTGTTTTCTCATTTGTTGTTAGTATTAGGCGTGATTTTGGTCTTGATTTTGCCACAATTCTTAGTGTTTCAGGTTTTGTAAACATCTGGGAAGATTAAACAGGAAAAGACCAAACTCAAAATTTGTTTGAATTGTGAGAGAACGTCTTCATATAAATGCGCTGAAGTAGAATACAGTAGCATTTGTTTTTTAAAACGGACTTAGTCTTACTGAGCACGTAAGGAGGTTGCTAAGCAACACGACGTATCCTAATGACGACAGCGTGACGTAATATTTTTTGGTTCTTGGTGTATTTCTGATTTAATTTGACAATGGCACTTTTAAAATCTTCGATAGTCCATTGCCAAAAACAATAGGTGCTCTAGCCCTTATCTTATATCTGATCCGTAATTTAATTTCAGACTGAAAATGTAACGAAGCCTTCCTGCTCCTTTGTAGACTTTAAAAAGTACGTAAAAGTTTGTTTATTTCCTAGCCTTAACAGTATAAACATTATCAGAGCATTGAATTCTGTTATTGACATTGTCCAATGATTGATTAAATGACTGATTGATTAATTGACCGATCGATTGATTGGTTGGTTGGATGATTGGTTGATTTGTTGACTGATTGATTGGTTGGTTGATTGATTGATTGACCTATTGACTGATTGGTTGATTGATTGATTTTTTTTTTGTTATAGAAATGGAGGCACCTGGTCAGATACTGGTTGTAACATGGTTGATGTGAATGGTCCGACCGTAGAGTGCGCTTGCGATCATCTCACAAACTTCGCAATCTTGATGCAAGTCAAAGAATTTGAAGTATGCTTGCATATCTGCCCTCTACTAATTCACTGAAAAAAGGCATCAACAATGTATTTCATCGATTATAATGCACGCAAGTGGACCTTGCCAACTTTCAGTTGCCTTTAGGGTAGAAAATCACACCCAGAGCACTTGAGGAACCAACGAAAAGCAAACTCGAAGACGCCAAAACGTCATACCTGAGTCAATGATAAATCATTGAAAATCTAAACGAACAAGACATCGAGAATCACCTAGGAAGTTTGCGAATTTCAACTTAGTCTGTTTTATTTTACTCTCTCTAGCAAACAGACTCAACTCGACTTTTAACGATGCACAATAACCCATATTTCCGAGTTGCCTTTTGCCTCTGGTTAAAAACGAGTCCTCAAGCAAAACGTTTCTCATGCAGAAAATGAGTTTAATTTACATGAAAATGAACTTACAGATGAAAGGCATTTTCATAACAATGGTTTCGCACGAAGACGAAGACTCGTTTTGACACAGAGGCAAAGAGCAACTCGGAAATGGCCTATTTGAAGAAAAGCAGACCCAGTTTCCTTGGTAACTAATACTTGTTTGTCATTGATTAGGTCCCAGTGGAACACGTGAAAGCTTTAACAATCATCACTTATGTAGGATGTGGAATATCTTTATTTGGGCTTGCACTCACCCTCGCTACCTTCCTGTCCCTAGAGTAAGTTGCCTGCCTTTAATTCCAAACTTTTGATGGTATACACTAGAAGTGTTGNTCCCAGTGGAACACGTGAAAGCTTTAACAATCATCACTTATGTAGGATGTGGAATATCCTTATTTGGGCTTGCACTCACCCTAGCTACCTTCCTGTCCCTAGAGTAAGTTGCCTGCATTTTCTTCCAAACTTTTGATGGTATACACCAGAAGTGTGGAACAGAACACTTAGAACAAACCGTGTGTTACATTAAAATCAGAAGACGAAATCGGAATGATGTGGTAATTGCATTAAAAGAAGCGTTACTCTCAAATTTTATGAGTTGCCAATTTTATCATTTACAATTTACTATTAACAGAGTCTTTCTCTGCGCAACATCAGTTAGGCTAAACGCAAATGTCAATATTTTACTAAAATAGGAGTTTAGAAAGACTAGATCGTATGAAACATAAAGACTCAACGCAAAATGAAAACGAAGGGTGGCATTACCCTCGTTTGTAATCAAATTTCATGATTTGTGTTTGGCTTCAATGCTTACTATTATTTATTTTACACCGGAAAGGTTCTGCTAAAGACAGTTGTTGATTCATTTCAGGACACTGGCTTCGGAACGCACCTCAATCCACAAAAATCTCGTTGTTGCCATTGGACTTGCGCAGATTGTCTTCCTGGCTGGAATAGATGCCATCTACAACCCTGTGAGTAAAATAGGTGTGGTCGGTAACTTTTGTTCATCGTCTCGCTGAAATTGTGGCAACATTATGTCAGTGTTTCCTTTCCACTCACTTATGCCTTTCAGAGAAAAAAAATTAAAGGACTCAAAATCCTTTAATGAATGAATATCCGGGAGGGCGACGTGGAAGAGNATTGTGGCAACATTATGTCAGTGTTTCCTTTCCACTCACTTATGCCTTTCAGAGAAAAAAAATTAAAGGACTCAAAATCCTTTAATGAATGAATATCCGGGAGGGCGACGTGGAAGAGTGGTTTAGGGCGCTGGATTTGAAATCTGGAGGTCCCTGGTTCAAATCCTCCACCCTACCGCTATCTGGATTTGTTCTCGGTAGCCCCGAGTTCAACTCCTCGACCGCGTTGTGTAAATAGCCAACTGGTCAGCCTCCCACCAGTTGGTATTCTTAATAATTTGTGTTCTACTTGCAATATTTGTTTGTTCATTTAAAGTGTCCTTAATTAGCACAACAGTGCTAAATACATTTGACACTTAAATAAAGTTGTTGTTGTTATTATTATTATTATTATTATTATTATTATTATGTTAATAGAATTTTTTGGCAGTTCGATTCTGAAATTTCTTACATGCTCGTTGACCGTCGTAAATCAAAAATGAATTTTTACATTTTATTATTTTTTTTATGTAATTGCTTCAAAAAAAACGTTTACCTGGAAGTCTCATTTCATGTTAACCATGCAGATTGCGTGCAAAGCAGTGGCCTTGTTCTTGCACTATTTATACACAGCGGCTTTTACGTGGATGCTGTGTGAGGGAATTCATCTTTACAGTAAAGTGGTGGAGGTGTTTAGTGAGGGATCCAAAATGAAATACTACTACGCACTGGGATGGGGTAAGTAACATTTGCTCTTCAGCAAGGACAGAACACTAAGTTGCTTAGTGTGTATGGGAGGCCCGANACAGAGGATTGTGGCAACATTATGTCAGTGTTTCCTTTCCACTCACTTACGCCTTTCAGAGAAAAAAAATTAAAGGACTGAAAGTCCTTTAATGAATGAATGCCCGGGAGGGCGACGTGGACGAGTGGCGGTTGGATTCTGAAATTTCTTACATGCTCATTGACCGACGTAAATCAAAAATGAATTTTTACATTTAGTTATTTTTTCTATGTAATTGCGTAAAATAAAAATAAAAAAACGTTTACCCGGAAGTCTCATTTCATGTTAACAATGCAGATTGCGTGCAAAGCAGTGGCCTTGTTCCTGCACTATTTATACACAGCGGCTTTTACGTGGATGCTGTGCGAGGGAATTCATCTTTACAGTAAAGTGGTGGAGGTGTTTAGTGAGGGGTCCAAGATGAAATACTACTACGCACTGGGGTGGGGTAAGTAACATTTGCTCTTTAGCACGGACAGAACACTAAGTTGCTTAGTGTGTATGGGAGGCCCGAGGGGTACTCCCTTATATGGGCTATATGGGTGTGTGCGACCCCAAAGAATATGGTTTTTTAGCCGTTTTGGTCATAAATAGGGTATCGATTTTGGCCAGTTTGATCTCAATAGAGTAAGGATTAGGTTGAGGGCGGGACATGACTGACACTTCGGGTTGCTTCGTGCCATCTAAACGTTGCTCTTTCGTTTTGCAGGTGTACCACTGACCATTGTGTTTATCTCCGCTTGCTCTCGCTGGGGTGGATACGGGAACGAGCGAGCGTATGTATACGTAACTAGTGCTTATAAAAACCTTCGTACGATTTTAATTTAATTCGGACAAAAAAATTGCGGAAATTAAAACCGTTCCAAGTTTTTAAGCGTCCGGAATATTTACGTAAAAAACTTTTAACCACGTACGGTTCTTGGGCGACACCAGCACGCGGTATTCAATGCTAATACACATGAGAGAGCTGGAAGTCGAATTAGGCTTTGCGCGTTGTTTTTATCACTTTATGGAGCAAACTCTAATTGAGACATTGCTTGAGATACAGTGCGGCTTGATAGAATTTGTGTTAATGTTATCTTCTTGTCGGTGTATCTGTAGAACTATCATTACAGTTAAACTATCATTTTCACACAGGTTATTCCAGTCTAATTCGTGTTTCGTAGGCGTAAATTTACTTTAGCTATGCTCCAGCAAATTGTCCGAAAATTTGTCCGAAATGAGATAAAAAGTGTCCGAAAATTAAAAGTCCAAAATAAAACGTCCGAAATACTTTGCAAGTCATTTACTTAATTGCATTATAATTTAATGTCTCATTTAGTAATTGCGTCTTAACATAAGTGCTAGAACGTTTTCTCTCTTATCTAAATCGCACTACATTATTTTTAGCTGCTGGATTTCAATCCAGGATGGCCTGATCTGGGCCTTTGTTGCTCCGGTTCTTATCATAATGGTGGTAAGGTTTTTTTTTGTTTTGTTTTTTTACTGTAACATTGCTAGTTAAGACTACTGCTCGTTTTATGGACACAGTGTGTATGAATGGGGGAGGGGAGAGTAGGGAGCGCCTCNGGAACGAGCGAGCGTATGTATACGTAATTAGTGCTTACAAAAAATTTCGAACGATTTTAATTTAATTCGGACAAAAAAATTGCGGAAATTAAAACCGTTCCAAATTTTTAAGCGTCCGGAATATTTACGTAAAAAAAACTTTTAAGCACGTACGCTCTTGGGCGACACCAGCACGCGGTATTCAATGCTATAACACATGACAGAGCTGGAACTCGGATTAGGCTTTGCGCGTTATTTTTATCACTTTATGGAGCAAACTCTAATAGAGACACTGCTTGAGACACAGAGCGGCTTGATAGAATTTGTGTTAATGTTATCTTCTTGTCGGTGTATCTGTAAAACTATTATTACAGTTAAACTATCATTTTCACACAAGTTGTTTCAGTCCAATTCGTGTTTCGTAGGCGTAAATTTACTTTAGTTATGCTCCAGCAAATTGCCCGAAAATTTGTCCGAAATGAGATAAAAAGTGTCCGAAAATTAAAAGTCCAAAACGTCCGAAATATTTTGCAAGTAATGTATTTAATCGCGTTATAATTTAATGTCTCATTAGGTAACTGCGCCTTAAACATAAGTGCTAGAACGTTTTCTCTCTTATCTAAATTGTACTACATTATTTTTAGCTGCTGGATTTCAATCCAGGATGGCCTGATCTGGGCCTTTGTTGCTCCGGTTCTTATCATAATGGTGGTAAGGTTTTTTTTTGTTTTGTTTTTTTACTGTAACATTGCTAGTTAAGACTACTGCTCGTTTTATGGACACAGTGTGTATGAATGGGGGAGGGGAGAGTAGGGAGCGCCTCGGTCGGTAGTGTACATTATCATTCTTGTAAAATATCAAACACAAGAGAAGTTTCATCGGGATGTCCAAACACCGAGAAGAGAGTTGAAAATACGGCGCGCAGCGAAGTATTTTTGACGAAATTCGAGGTGTTTGGATAGCCGATGAAACACTGTCTCTAGTATTTGATATTTCTTCTCAATCGAAACAAAAACTGAGGGGTAAACAGAGAAGTAAAATCGTCAAAGTCTACGCTAATTAATTAAGAACGGGTATCCAGACTTCACGGTTGTGATTTCCCTTGTTTTAACTTGATGAATTATAAATGAGTTTGAGCAGTTTTCTGAAATGTCAAATTCTTCAGTATTTTAAAAAATGCTGACCTCTATATTTACACAAGTTGTTTGTTAGATTTTTTTGGTTTATCTAAGGTTCTTTTCCTATGTTCGGCGGTCAGTGAAACAGGAGCAATTGATCAGCCAAAAATTCATTGGGTGTCGCTTATCGCTTAATTGGCAGGTCAACCCAAAAAAGGGACAAACGTCTGCATAACGGGGACCCGGTCTCGTCTATACGATCAATTTTTATGAACAATTTATATGTGACAAATATATTTGATCGAGTAGATGGCTCAGCAAATACTTTTCAGAAGTTCAAAGTTAGTGCGCCAGTAATGACTTTGGATAGCAGAGATACACAGAAACAAGGCGGGGCTACTTAGTCGCCTCCGGAAATCTTGGTGCTTGCGAACATATTTGCCACATTTTATGTGACGAGTCGTCTACACGAGCAATTTTTCGTATGTGACAACTTTTGTTTGTCACTTAAAAGCTAACAAGTTAGCTTTTCAGCAAATATATTTGTCGCATAAAAATTGGCCAATTTTCCTCATCTTCACGAACAAATAATTGTCGCATAAAAATTGTCACATAAGAATTGTCACATAAGAATTGTCACATAAGAATTGCCACATAAGAATTGTCACATAAGAATTGTCACATAAGAATTGTCACATAAGAATTGTCACCATAAAAATTGCTCGTGAAGACGAGGCTTTACATTATGGTTCATAGCAAAAACTAATCATCTCTGGTTTCGCAGGCATGTGACCGGCGCAATTTGTTGATCACAGTCATGCTTTCTTGTTTTCAGATCAACTTTGTTGTCATGATAATGGTCATCAAGGTCATCATTGCATCTGTGACGTCACTGCAGAACCCTGGAAACACCTCGCAAGTCCGGTGAGCTTATGAGAGGGGATTGACTGTACATCCCCTGTATGTAATCTTTCCCTGGTGGGAATTACTTTTCCGTCACTGAATGAAATAAGAGCCCTAAATTGCCACTTGGGCTTTCAATCGATTGAGTTGTACTCCGCCTGGATGGACTGCTAGTCTACCCGGCGCAGTTTGGTCATCAGAAGTTGGCCAGTTTTCTGACATACTGTCATGACATATGTTTTATATGTTATGTTGTTTTCCTGCAGGGCTGGTGTGAAAGGCATGATTGTTCTTCTGCCATTGCTTGGCTTGACCTGGGTGTTTGGTATCATGGCCATCAATAAGGACACCATCGCTTTTCAGTATCTGTTTGCGATCCTCAACTCGCTGCAGGTCAGAAAGTATTTACAGTAATTAGTAGACTGTATTTAATGTTTTTTGGCTTCAATCTAGGCGTCTGATAGCGATCTAACATAAAACAAAGAAAAAAACTGTAGTTGTTTGTAATTATGTTCATCAGAAGTCGTTTTTCTGTTGTGAGAAAGCCATGCAACACAGAAAATGAAATGCCTTACTCTCAGATCATTACTTGACGAGAAATCGCATCCTGTGTTTAGTAACTCTCTTTTGTGATTTATGTTGCTACAGGGACTTTTCATTTTTGCTTTCCACTGCATCGGAAATACCGAGGTATGTATTACTTTATTCTTGTATTTAAACAATTTGAAATTGTGAAATAATGTACAACAAGAGACGATCAATCCTCCCTTGTGTTGAATACACGACCCCACTATCCCATCTTGCATGAATATAGTTCTTTTGTTCTGTTCTGAATTATTTGGAATTACTGTGAACACTCTTCAGAAAGTCTCTAAGACGGACATTCTTGGGTCCACTTCAAGCTGTCCGCCCTAGAGAAGTGAAGGCCTTAATTTAAGGAGAGTGAAATTCAGACATGACTTGTCAGCCAAACATCTGAAGTGTGTTCGACTTCTTCTTATTATACCGAAGTGTTCGATGCAATTTCCATTTTGAGGAAATAGTTGACGCCATCCTTCGTGTCCTAGGTACGGGTGGCGTACAAGAGACTCCACGAGAAAAGAACTTTGGCAAAGAGCCTGCCTGAACATTCTTTGTCCACTTCTCACCATTCAAGCAGGGTAAGTCCAAAGAACTAGTTCTAATGTATAAAGAGGTTTTCAAATGAGTATCGTAAAACCAAAACCAAATTTATCACTCTCGCAAATCACAAAGGAAACAGACAATGCAGTGAACCAATCAAAACTCTAAGTAATTACATTTATCATATGACCCGTACGGTCCCGCGCGCAATTTCCATGGAAAACCATAAGAAAAAAGGTCCCGTATGAGGGCCGTGCGCGTCGAAATCATAGGGCCGGAAAAACACGTACGGCCCTATTAGAAATGCGTACGGCCCTACCAGAAACGCTAAAGCAAAATCGATGCGAGTTAATGACAAAAACAGTTTTTTGCTGCAAAATTTTGTTCTCTTCAAAACGNCAAGACCATTCGCAGCGTGTCTGGTGAGAAATTATTTGATCAGTGATCGCCAACATAGGGTGGGTGTACACCGGCTAATATACAAGTTCGTCTCATTATTTAGTCTCCAATTAATTTCATGGAGTACCAGTTGGACAAATTAATTTATTTCTACCTGTCTGACGGCGGCGTTCATTTCCTTTATTCAAATTATCGGAGGACCTTCTTGCCGATCACTCTCAAGGTTCTAAGTTGCCTGGGGCTGACCTTTCTTGACATGGACAACTAAATAGTATATTATTCTATTACAAAAATGCTTCTTATATAATTACATGTTTCACTGAATTAATTTCAACATGATAGCAACTTTCATTTTCATCTTTTTATTTCTTTACCTTTTCTAGATGTGAAGCTTTCTGGAGACAATATGGCTATGCAAACGGTAAAGTATAGACATGATAAAACGAAACAAAATTAAAAAATAAAACATTGCCACGATCACTCCTGTTTTCTGAAAACTATAATAACACTGGGACTAAGCAAATTAAGGAACGTGGATAATATGACTTAACTATAACTTTTTTAAAAATATATTGCTTTTGTATCCTGTATCTCAGTATTTCATTGATCATTTATAAGAAGCTCTTGGTAATCGAAGCTGTTTATGACATGGCATCAAGCCTTTCTCGTATAATTTTGCAGATTTTGGAACTAAATAACACTTTGATTAGATACATTTTTGAAACAGTTGAATTAGACACTTTTTAACTGAACAGAACTTTCGAAATTCGAAACTAAAAATTCATAAATTTATTACTTTATTTATTCATTTATTATTTATTTATTTAATATTTATTTGAAAAAAATACCGGTGGAAGAGCTCTTTTTTGTATATAAATGTGCACAATTATAATTTAAGTCTAGCTATAGAATCGTATTATAACTGTTATCAAGTCTTAATTGCCATATTGTAATGTATCATGTTCAATATTCAGTTCGGAGACACTGATTCCGGTCGCTGGTCATTAAACTGCCCTTCTCCGGACCCGTGAGTAAATAACAACTAAAATACTGAAATTATTAAGCAACTGACGTGTAATAATGTGAAATAGGTGAATAAGGAATATATTTTATTTAAACGTTAGAATTCTAAAGCTTTATTTTGGAACAATGATGAAATTTATTGATAATTAGAATCTACCAGATAATCTGTACTATCGTTGAGATAACTTTCACGTACGCTGCTAAAAAGATCTTATCTTCTTCAAATAGTAACACATAAAACTAAGCTTAATCTGTTTAAAAAGAAGCGACTTTTTAAAACATTTAGCTATAAAAAATTGCGAAAAACTTTTCTTTAAAAACATTCGGTTAAAAAATACACGACGTTTTGAAGTTCTTAATTTACATGTGATCTGTGTGATGCAGATTATTTTAGTTATACAGCCCGACACCTTCATCAACGCATTGCTGAACACAAGTATTCGGCTTTTGGTAGACACCTTTTAGAAGTGCACGGTAACAAAAATCTTTTTAATGAGGACCAATTTCTTGTTCTCAAGAAGTGCCACGGGAAATTTGATTGCCCCGTTTAATTTACGAAATGCTATTCAAAGAACTGAGGCCTAGCCTCAATTAACACTCAGAGTGACTTTTTCAGTGCTTAGCTCTTTGTTTAGCTTGTAGCATATTTTTATGTTACCTTTCTTTTTAATGAACTATTGTTTTTCTTGTATTTATAGAATATTCATACTGTTTTTTTTTGTAACTTGATGACGTCTGAGAACCTCGAAACGTCGTGTATTTTTTTAACCGCGTTTAAAAATTTCTTAAATGCTTTTAAGAAAAGTTTTTTTTTTTTGCAATTTTTATAGCTTAATCTGTTTCAATGAAAAAATATTAAGGAACTTTTTTGTTCCAAATTGTGCTCCAGAATGAAGATTAATTCAATATAAAGTAAGCCAACGGATAAACAAACAAACAAAATAGCGTAACATGAGATCTTATAACATGCTTATCAGCGATTGTTTGTTGGGTCGAGTTTGCATCCTTTATTGATTGGTTAACGTTACCATGTTCCAAAAGACTGAGAAGTCAAGGTTCTAATGCGATTTATATAATCTGAATTTCAGATTCGACCTGGATCACGCAAAACGAGCGTGAGAAGCTCAACAAGTGGACAAGGCATTCATAATGAATACTTAGAACAAAGGAAACCATTAACTAGATTAGGCAAAACAGAAAACACAACAACAAACCAAACAAAGTCGTACTTTCACAACTTCAAACCCAGGGTCGGCTTACGTTCTTGCAACATCGTGTAACTTGAAAAGATTGAATATAAGTTTCTTATTGTTCACTGAATTCTTCAGCGTAAAACTCTTTTGCATACTTTACGTTTAAAAATATTTGAAACCTGTGTCTACGAATTTCACATTTCTGGCCATATTTTGTTGAGGAGTAGCGTATTTTGTAGGTAATAGCTACTATGTCATAGTGTTAAACTACGGAGTAGAATTCCACGGATGACAACGACTTCCACGGATGACATAGACTTTGTAACTGTTTGAGAGTACCTTGGAGGCTTTGTTTGCACTTCGAGCATTTTCCCGAGAGCAAGAAAATCTTACACTACTGAATTAATTTATGCAGAAGAAAAAAGAAAACCTATAACCTCACTTCCCATCATAAAATAACTCGATATTCGTGTATATACAAGTGCTTATAATTTAAGTTGTTACATAATGTGTGTCATACAAACATCTAGAGTAATCACTGCGTTCAATAACATTGAAAAGTGGTAATGCTAGCATATGTATAAATAATAAATATGATATATAAAAAGACGTCGGAAAGAACATTAGGTAGATTGTGCTTCTCTCAGCTTGTGGTTATGTATATCAGTAAAATACATCAAGAACCATAAAGGTATAAGGTTAGTATCAAGCTGGCTAGGCTTTGCTATTACAACTGAAATATTCTGCACGATGACAAAAAAAAAATTCTGTGCAGGATCATAGATGGCTTTCTCATATAAGTTCTGGATCTGGCAATTTTCAATCAAAAGCTACGTGATTTGTCACGTGATGTGTATGAAAGTTTTAAAACCGCTTTGAAATGCGAAAAGCGATAAAAACCCGTCTGTGTGCTAAAGTTGGTCTCATAGGCCTTAATGTGCTTAAACTGAAGAGCGTGCTAGACGCATACTCTCCAAAAATAGCACCACCTAGTCAGGCGTCCACGTGCTCCTGACCTAGGCCATAAGTCATCTATGTCTATGTATCAGAATGGCATAGCGAAACGTAGCAGAGACTGGTTTTGATTGTAATTTAGTCACGAGGTACTCAAGAAAAATACTAAGCAGTGCACCATTTAATATATATATCGATTACCTTCAATATATTAGTTGTTTTCTGTTAGTTTTTGTGCCGCACTTTTCATGTTATCTCATCATAAATTTAGGAAAGACGCGACGTCACATGACCACGCCAGAACGAGAACAATAGTCTGGACACTACTTGTTTTTAACGCCGTTCACGCGATATCGATACAGCGTTTTCGATGAGGCGGCCTCAATAGACCGAATGTGCGTCAGGATGTCACGCTGTCTTTGTTTAATCTACGTTGTGTTACATGTAGAATGTGTATCTTGTCACCAAGTGAACACATTGCCGTCAATAAAGCATAGTTGATGACCAAAGTATCTGTGAAGTTATTGATTCCTCGATTCATTTTCTTTATTCACGATTATTAACTGGTTGCTTATGAATTGGTACCGTAGAATTCAGAGAGTAACGGTCCCGTTTTTTCGGATTTAGCAGGCGAAAGGGGTCGCTACCGTCGGGTAGCCGTTACTTTCGGATGGTTAAAAAACGTTTGTACAGTAACAGTCGTTTCAGACAAAGCGGACGTGTAACACAAGAAATTAGACGTTCCGTTCATGAATGTTTCCAACTATCCTCTTAAACAAAGCAGACTGTATAAACAACAACAACAAAAAAGCCTAAACCGGTTGGTACTGTAGGACGAAAGTGTAATGGTCGCCGTATTATATCGCAATACAAATTATTACCCAGCAGTATATTATTTGACCCTGCTGCTAGATTTTCAAGAAAAATTCAGTCAAGTCCGAAATAAAATCACGGATAACTCTTCAAGTCAATGTTCAGTTCTGCAGTCAGGCTGTTTCATCCGCGTGGCCCGCGCTTGAGAACAGATACTTTATCTTTTAGGAAAGTCTTCAAAGGGCGGCTGGGGCGCTACTTTCGGGGGGTCCGTTACTTTCGGGTGGGCTGTTACTTACAGGGGTTCAATGGAAGTTGAAAAAAACCGAGCAGGCAAGATAGGGCTATCTTGCCCGCCCGGGACTGCCCGCTGTATCTCTCAAGAAGAATTTATTCTTTCTGCCATATATTTAATCCTTTGTCGACCAAGCTATTTCGGTCGAGATAGCTGGATTTTGGCTTCGTTCTTTTTTTGCGTATGGACCTCAACTCCGTCTCAGTCTATAAACACGCAAAAAAAGAGCACTTGACCAATATCTAACCATCTTGACCTCGCTCTTGTTCAATAACTCATATATATAGACCAATAAAGAACACGATTTGGGCAATAATTTAAATTCTTAATTACGCTTAACGCATCAAATGCACTAATCAAGTGACCATTATTTTTTTCCTCTGTTCTCTTTCGTGTGTCTATGTATTAAAATATACTCTAACACTCTCTGGAAATTTTCTGTACATTAAAAAGAATGCCTTAATACATAATCCCTCGGAATATTTACAAATGAAACAGGTTCACCGATAGCCTATTATAGAACTGAAAAATATAATACTTTTTTCCTAGGCCAAGGAGTAAGGGACTTTCAAATTTAAATGTAGACAAAATAACCATGGACAGTCAATGGTGTGTCCCAGACAGTTGTACATTGTCAATTAAATATAGACGACTTTTGTGGATTGGAAAACTACAATTTTTTCCTGACACAAAACTAAGTCAGTTGGGAATAAAAAAAATAAAGAAATTTGTATCAAATCCAAGGCTGGATAGCAACCAAGATGATCTAAACATAGATCGTCCTCCCTTGTGTTATGGTGTTACTGCGCAACCATGGTTGACCTTGTAGCCCTCGCGGAGTCGGAGGTCCAAGGCTACAGGAGAATTTCAGGAGTGACTGGTCTTTGTTTTCTACTATAACAAGACTTTCCTTATCTGCTCGGCTAAGCTCTGACTGTCTTGTTCAACGTACGACTGGCCAGGGAAGAAATATTTCTGTGACGATCGCAGTGTCAGCAACTGGGAATGTTGAAACGGCTCGTACACAGCCAAATCATCTTTATCTTGAAACGGGTTCAGTGTCAAGGTTTTAAGATGAAGCACCATGTTGTTCAACACGAAACGGCGGCGAGTTTGGTAGATTGTAGGCAGGGGAAACGCTAAAATAAAAAAAGAGAAACATTAAACAATTAAATCCAATTAAAATAATTTATTCTATTTTACGGCCATGCTATCAGGCAGTCTGAAGAAGAAGTCCCAATGAAATTAGTCTTTTGCGCGCAAGTGCAAGAAAGTGAAAGCAATGATATAGCAGAAATTACCAGCCAAAGACTATAAAAGGACTTCGCAAAGAATATAGAGTGGACTGAATCTTGATTCTTCAAGTAATTAGGGGAAAGGAAATTGGTTCAAAATTCTCCTAACCTTTTCGTCAAGGAAACGAAAGATTATTTCGAATACTTGGGAGGTTTTTATTTCAATGAGGATAAAAGCACTAAAAAGGTCAAATAAACTGGCCAATTTACCCAATGCAAGAGACGTCTCTCTTTCTGGATGACAGTGACTGCAGTGTGTTTCTCCCAGGCGCGCGAGACTCCGTTTGCTGAAAGAAAAGAGAATACCAAATAAACAGTCTAGTGGTGCAAAAGCAATCATAATTTTGTACTCGAAATTACGACTCCTGGAATTCAAAAACAGAAAAATTCAAAAAGAAAAAGGGGAACTTTTTTGACACATGGCGTTTGAGTGTTGTTTCACAGTCTATTTTAGAATTTGTCCCAATTTGATACGTACCTGTGTATTTTCGGCAAAACAAGGACAGTGTTTCTCGAGTTATCCTGTGCCTGCACAGGTGTCTCCTCACGTGTGCGCGTGCGTGCTCGCTCCAGTTCCTCCTCCATTCTGATCTCACAAAAGTAGTTGATCGCTTCTGAGGGCATAGCGGTGTCAGCGGCTCTGCCCCCAAGCGCCTCCACGTCAAATGAGACTGAAAAAATGGAAACAACACCGGCAAATTGATGTTTAAGTAAATTTACCTTTTAGTCTTGTTGGGAGCACGGAGGCCTAATGGTTAGGTTGCTAAAAATTGAATCGAGAACTCCGATTCGTATTCTGGCCGGGGTCTTAACGCTGTGTTCTTGGGCAAGACACTCTACTCCCCTGGACAAACGGCTTGGAGGCAGCCTGCAATGGAAGACTTGAGCACTGCGGACTGCTTTGTGCAGCAGAAATCTGAGTTGAAATCAGAATGATGAACCACCCGGATTCTCCAACCTGCTCAGGACTGGTACAGATTTTACTGAGATTTCAATGTTCCATGTCACGCGTACGATGTGGAAAACACAGGAGGCAAATAACACATACACAAGAAAGATAGAATTTAACTTACTGCTCGTTGGTTTAGACATCTCGGATGCTGTCCTCTGCTGATATAAATACAAGAAAAAAAAAATCTGGTCATCCCCGTTGATAAAGCGACAATGGTCTTTTAGGGTGATAAAGAGGAAGTACACACAAAACTATACAGGAGAAAAAAACTACAAAAATGACAGAAAATTTCTTTGGATTATATTCTGGGAATCGAGGGGTTTCTGGCGCGATCGTCTGCTCACATCAATATCCAATTTCTTCTTGCAATGTTTGTATGTATTACCAGGCAGACAGGTGATGAGAAAACAGAAAACTATCAATAAACGGCATATTGACTTGATGAACCATCAAATCACCAAAACTTTCATTAACACAAGTATATATGAATCAGCTAAGAGAATCAGTCGTTTGATCACGCACGAAGAACTCACTTGATCACGCATGAAGAACCCACTTTCATGTATAGTTTAGACTTTTAGTTTTGAGAGGACCCTTCTGAAAACCACCTCAAGGTGATTGGGGCCCTCCTGTTAAAATATTTATCTGTTACATTATTTATTATTTATTTTTACCTGTGAGCTTCCTCTATCGGTTTTCAAGATTCCCTTGATAGAGCTGGGTGTCTTAGGCGTCTTTGTTCCTCTACATTAACAAAAGAACCATGACATAAGCTAAAAATAAAGAGAAAGGAACCGCGCAAACAGTAAGGATTTAAACTTACTTGACCACACTGCCGGCCTGAGCGCGGCTGATCTTGCCTGCTAGGGATCGGATGTGTTGTCTGAACTGTGCAAGCCACTTGTTGAGCCACTGAACACACAAGTCCTTTACACGGGCCTTTCTTCTGTTATCAGGAATACCCTGTACAGGAGAAGAGAAAACGCGAAGCTGATTTTCAACTTTTGCTTTCGAGGATGTCACCAGCAGCGCTTTAAAAACACGTGAGAGATGTCTATAGGTTCGAGGACCACCGAATTCAAAGCGATCGAAGATGCCTGCCATAAGCAAGGTGCAATCAACCGGCGAAAACGGTTATGTGACTTTAATGTACCTTGTACAGAGATCACAGGTTTTTATCAAAGAACACTTACCATTAATAAAGGGGTTGCGATCTGACTTACGTTCTCCTGCCTCTTTGGTCACTTTGACCAAGTGACGGATTACCGTAAGGGCCCCAAAGGTTGAAACAAATTTTAAATATTTAGGGGCCCCTTTATTGAAAAAGGCCCTAAATCGTTTGGGACAGAGTACGGGGCTCTAGTAAGTCCATTTTACAATAAACATATGTTCAGACATACCGTAGTATCAAGCAAGTCCAGTTCTTTAGCAAAGTAGCTGGCAGTGTCTGGTACTCCAATTGAGGCTAACATTTCTCGGACAAACTTCCTGCAACGCCAAACATTACAAAACAAATTAAAACGAGTTATGAGCACATAGCTGGGCATGAACTTTAACGGTGATCTACACATTTCCGTATTGTGCAAGCTTCATAGGTGATCCATTGTGTTATTATGAAGAACAGCAGAGTTACGCGCTGGTCAAATGTCTGTATGAGGTGTATGTTCTTCAGGCAATTCTTTACGGTTTCATCTTTTTCCTTTCAAATATTTATTTTGTATCACGCGCTTTTCAATCATAGAACCTTTTTTTGTTGAAAAGGTGAAAACAAAATTTGATACAGTTTATTTTATACCTTAAACAAAAAGTAAGCAAAGATTCCGTAATTGATTTTTTTTTATTTTTGGCTTTACCTGATTTCTTCATCACCATCAATAAACTGCGCCATAAGCTCAGCTACAAAAGACACTTCGTAGACCTTCATAGTATGCGACAGCTGCAGAGCCACACGTAAAAACTGTTTGGCCTCAGACGAGCCATGCGCAGTAGGGTGATCCGGGATATTCAGTTCTGCTATCATGGTGCGATTGACCTTTTCGGCTGTATCTCGGTTTAAACCTTCTTGGCGATGCAACAACATGATGGCCTGACAAACATGAAAGGAAAACATGCAGAATTGTCGTCAGTTAACGTTAATTCACGTCAAGTTTATTGTAATAAGCTTCTCTATTCCAGTAAGCGCCTATTGCAAAAGTACCATTCAAGTCTGACTTCGAATTGTCAAGTGAATTATGGAGTCTTGAGTATTTCTCGTCTGAACGTAATTTTGAACACAGTGACTTGGAATGAACAATATCAGAGCTCCTGTTGTTACAGTTCTTGAGCTGGTATTTCCTGTCAAGTAGCGCCCTTTGTTAGGGCGCCAATTATCAAAATCTTACTGAAAAGCGTAAAATTCTTTTGCTTCTGGTCAGGCGCCCAGTGAAAACCAACCCTTGCAGTATCTGTTGTTAACGCTCTGTCTCTCTCTAATAAGCCCCATTACCACGAGCTACCAAAAGTAACTTAGAGCCCGGGAAACTATACTCAATCGTCATGTTATACGCATCTTCATTTATTTCAAGGGAAAATACATTTACTTAGCTTCCATCTGCCTTTATAGAAAAAAAAGACAAATGTTTCTACACGCGTTTCCCATTCGGTGTAAGTGGGTGTACACACATACTTACAGCACAGATCTGCGTCTTCAGTTCATGGTCAGTTGTCTTCTGAATCAAGCTTAGCAATAGTTCTACGAAGCTTTCTGCCGTCCAAGGTTTGGGGAACGACTGAAAATGAACAATGTTAGCGTTTAATGATGTTATTTCTATCCTTCAATAAACGTAAAAAGACGAAATGAAAACGTGCTATGTAATGCTTTGAAATATTCTCTACTCGCAACAAACATGTAGCTGGAGCTTGTTTAAGTGTCAATCGAAAGAAAAGGAGTTTAAGATGGGTTAGAACAACATCTCAGTGTCAGCTTCAATTAAACAACTGAATGTAACTATCAAAGGCATAATGTCTAGATATAATAAATCTCACTTTGCGTTGTAATATAATCACTGTCAAATGGAACTCCAGAAGAAACCTAAAAATAGTACTTTGTAGAAGTAAAAAAAACGCCAAACAAGTAATTAGAAACAAAAAGAGACAAGGAGGATAAAATTGAGCAGGATTGAGACCGACTGCGAACAATGCACTCGAAATAGATAGGCTACTTTTTGAAGGGGCGCCATGGATGACATATCACTAGCTCCTTTAAGTAATCAATTTTGTAATTATTTTGTTGTGTACTCACCTCTGAGTTCGCGTCCGGAAAGAACTTTTCAAACCACAGTGTCCCCTTGAACTGACTGATGAACGATGGTAACGGCGTCGGAGGGGGAGGAGGTGTTGGGGTAGGAGTCGGCTCCTTGGGGGGAGGAGGCGTTCTGCAAAGTGTCAAGGAAAGAAAGTTCTGAGGAGAACGTGGGTGAATAAACTCGGTCGATGAAAATGTAGAACAAAACCGCGAAAACAAACCTCTTGACGAAATGAATTAGAACCTATGGGCATTTTCAGGGATAAATTACAGTTTATCTCTGCCATAATTCACAACTTACTTGATTGCAGAGTGCGAGAAGTTTCAAGTTTTGGTCTATATTCATAAAGGCTTTCCATCAATTGTTTAAAAATTAAGTTTTGTATTTTTGTTATGTTGAAAATAACAGGCAGCGATTAGGAGATTTTCTTCGAAAAAGTTCATTTTAGCCGGTTTTTGCACGTGTACTACATAAAAAATAAACTTAAATTTAAAACTAAGGAGAATATTATAACGGTGAGTATGGTATCGCAGAAAGAGAGCAGAAAGAAAGACGAGAGTTATACAGAAGGTAACATACAAAAGCTATAGAGAAATGAATACCTGTTCAAGAGTGATGTTGCACTTAACTTTGGAGAGAGGTTCGCTCTCTGAGAAGAAAGATGAAAGATATGTTCGTACGCAGCTTTATTTGCTTTTGTAAAGTTTGCATCTCTCGATCTAGAGGGAGTTCCTGAATGATAGCAAAGACCTCGAGAGTTCTCCTCGAAGCAGTGGACCCTTTCGAGTAGGGCTTATCGAAGCAGACGAACCTCTACACAGCAGATTTGTATGACAAGTAGTGTTTTGAGTCGCGGAGGACTCGTGTGGAAGGGCAAGACTGACTTCGTCTGCATGCAAGGTGGAACATAAACTTGCATCCACTTTTTCAGTGCCATACACACAGGTGTCTTTGAAGATTAAACGTTCGCCGTTACAAAGCATAAGAAGTAGTCTACGGAAAAGAAGCGAAAAAAGAAATCTGCCTTGAAAGTTAAGCAGGGGTAAAGAATCGACGGTGTAAACAGTTGCAAAGGAAGAAGTGGTTTGAGCACAAGGCGACAAGATAACGGGGGAAGAAGACCAGAAACCATGAAGTGCGGAGTGAGACCCGAAAGGTAGTATGGGATAGGACACTACACTAGAGAGAGATTTTGAGCCTCATAGCGCAACAAGGTTGAAGATGAGGAATAAAACAAAAGTTATCAGAGATATGCAGGCAAGATGGAGATGGAGGAATGATAAATGAGGGCAAGAGAACTACCATCATCACAGAACAGTTATGACGTCACTGACGGGATAACCGTGGTAAGTAAACTGCATGCCCAGCCCTTGGTTTGGGATTATGTTTAATGCATTTAAAAAAATTTATGGAAAAGAGGAAAGAAACAACCACAACAATTACTTAAAAAGCGATTTAACACGAATTTAATTTAACACATTTAAGCTTTAAGTTTACCTTTGGTCAAGCGCTGTTAGATCTGTTTTAACTCCATTTTCATTGGAGATTAGTTCAATGATCAATGATGAAGGACTTTCCAACAGTTCGTCCCTGTTGTCATCTATAACTTCATTTTCCATTGGCCACGTGGAAGGTGGAGACCAGTCATTTAGGTTTAGTATACCTGTACTACGATGACTGTTGGACAGCGGTATTCTTTAACAAGAAAGGACGTTTTTAAACTTACAGTTCATGTTTTAACTCGTTTTGTTTAAGTCTTTTCTTAAACCTTTCGTTTAGTGAGTATTAATGTAAAAGGGTTCATGGTAAGTCGAGTTTCTACTGAATTAGCGAATTCAATAGTGGCAGTTAAGTTATTTTTAGTTCTGCGTGTAGTTTTAAATCGTTTGCGTTTAATACTGGGATCAAAACTTTATCTGGTTAACGTAGTAACTGGCAGTTTAGCCTAGTTTAAAAATCATCTACAGATAAATATTAGAACTCAGTTAATCTACTATGCATAACAATAACAATCTCTGTTATGCATAGGATAACAGAAATTCAAGACAATTACTTTAGTTCTCAATTTACCAAGATCAATTTGACACAGTTAGAAGGTATTCAAACATCCCTGTTACTTAAATGCTTGCGTGATTCGCTTTGCGTGACGCGAATTATCTCATTTTCCATATGAAGGATCATTTGAGTCACGCAAAACGAAACTCTTTCTCTTCCAGAAGAAAAACAAAACGTAGACTAAACATACTTATAACAAACCTAAACTGGAAAACAGCCAAAGATCATAATGTCAACTTACGGTTCTGGCGTAGGAGGCTTGGGTCTTGTTACCAACTTCTCAATCGGACGAAGTGGTTTTACCTCCTTCTTTGGGGAGGGTATCCGGGTAGGTGACGGCTCCACTTCCGGGGGAGGCGACGGGGGTGGCGTCGGTGTGGGGGATTTGAAGAGCTCGGTCTCATCGATAGGCTCAGGTGAGGGAACGTCTCGTAAAGCAAGTTGAAGTTGATCCGCAAACTTAGACTTTCCTTTCCCCTTCTTGGCTTTTGGACTTTCAGGAGATTTGGCAGTTTTCTACTCGACAAAACAAGTTCATACGTTATGTAATTTAACAATGAATTAAATTAAAACCACCAATGACAGTTTTTTTTACTTATTCTCTGTGTTACCTAGATCTTATGATTACCCACATTTCGATTAGAACTATCGGTAATTACAACTTGCATGTTAAAACCAGTTTGTAAAAACCTAGCTGTTATCTTGCTACATTGAAGAAGATCTCCTATTCGGACNCCCCCCCCCCCCCCCCCCCACCCTTTTCTCTCTACCAAGCATCTGAAGATTGACGACAGCTAACCTTCTTCCTGCTCTCCAATTCAGCCAGTTGCTCTGCAGTCAACTGCGGCGGTTTCCACGGTTCAGCCTCCTCTTTACCCTCCTCTCTTAAATCCTTAAACATGGCCACAACGACGGAGTTCGGAATGAAGCCATCAGGCGCGATAACGAACATCTCCTCGTCTTCAACCTCCGCTTTATGTGAAGCCATTCGCGAAAGTCTCTGCGATACCAGTTGAACAGATTGGCTCGGCGAAGGATACCGTTTAGACTTCGGCACATCGACGACGTATCGATCGCGGTCCCGATTCACGAGCGGTGGTTCTATCGGATGACTTCGGAAATCCCGTTTGTGACTGGGGGCCGAACGAGAGACCCTGGAACTTGTCTCTCCGTGCGAGAAGATCTCGCTTTCTGTTTCCATGGTGAAAGGGCGTTCAGATCGCGATATTTCGTCGAGTTCCTTCGTGGAAGGAAGTACAGGAGTCTCTTGACTGTCTTCCTGCAATTTTATCGGTTCAAACTCCGACATTGACAAGCTCATGATCTCGGGTTTTGGAGGTTTCTCAGGGGATGACTGGCTTTTCTTTGATCTAGTAGACTGTCTGCTTATCGAGAAAAACCCCTGGCCTCTATCAGGCGAGTACGGTTCTTCTCCGTCTTCTTCGTAACCATAACCTTCGTCGTCGTCCAAGGTGTCGTCTGGAAGATCGAAGTGCGGCCGCTTGTAAAATATTTCCAAGTATCTTTCAAACGCTTCGCCGCGAACTGTCTCCGTGTCAATGTTATGTCGTTTCCTGGTGAATTCGTAAGTTCCGTCGCGAAGTTTTCTAAGCTCATTTTCACGGTCCTGAATCTTTGCGAAAGCCTGAAAGGAAAATAGGAGAAATAAATTAATCAGGTTTTGTTTCCGATAGTTCACATAGTTAATAACAATAAATGTAATCTGATATTTCCTTCTGAAACTTCTTTTGCTGCTGTCATAAACTTTGAAAAATCTCTGCTTATATTAACAGTCATCCACAGCACTGTAGTCTTGTGGCTGGCCGACTGAGCCACTTTCGCAACCATTAGTGATACGTTTTGATTGGAGGAAAAAAAAATCGGAACGTCTTGGAGCATCAAAAGTTAACCGTTCTCTAATAAACTTGTAAACAACATGAAATGATAGCTGTTATACCAGACTTCTCCTCTCCTCTTCTTGAATCTTTTCATCCATTTCGTCTTGTGGAAGCGTGTCTTGAAATCCACTGTACTTATCGAGCGACGACTTGACTCGAGTCAGCCGCGCACATTCTTCGGGTGTTAGACCGCCTCTTACGTCTGCATCGATATCCATCGGTGCCTCGGAAACAACCCTTCGGAAATCCATCGCCACCATTCGGAAAATGTACGATTGTGGCATGTCTAAAGCCAAAAGAGAGAAGAACTAAGGAAACTTTGTTCATGCAGTTTTAATTTCAGGAGAAGCTTTTAGCTTTTAAAGATGGCATGTTCAGTAGAAAATCACAACTGAAATTGTTTGAACAACAGAGGCTATGGATGGAAAGTACTAAAATGCTCTAATACATTAACTACTCTACTCTAATATACGCTGCTCTAATACGTTGTGCTTCACGCAGTCTAACTTGAAACCGCGCACGCGTTAAAGCACACGTATTTTTAACGCGTCTTTAACAAGAAATTTGGTTTGCTAATTTCTGAGCTGCAATCAAGGGCAATAGATGCATTGATTGATGTTATTCTACAAAAGGAAAAACAACGACATAGTGTTTTGAAGTAAGGGAAATATGATTAAAGGGGCAGCGGTGAAACACATTATGAATAATTTTGGATGATCTTAATAGTGATGACAATAAAACTCCTCAATATCTTACTGAGGTTGATATCAGTTTGTAATCAAAGAAAACAAGCGCGCAATGTATGCAATCTATGGGTACGCGACTTCTCTGCCAGTTACATGTCGCACTGACTGTTCAGACTAAGTTGGTTGTAATTGGCCGAGCAATAGAAAAGCCAATATAGAGATGTCATGAAGTAATCAACAACGGCAGCAGCAACATAGCCCGTTTTTATGTACTTTCAAAACATTTTGAACACTTACAAGAAGCGTAGTTGATTTTGTGAAGATGTTTGCCAATGCCCACAATCAGGTCACCTTTCTGACTACAGAAACAAATGCTGGTGGGAGTGGCATTCAGTTTGATGACACGCAAGAGTCTATTGGCCTCGTCCCAGATTCTCACGGAGCCATCAGCACTGCATGACGCAAACAGCCTCATCTTGGAGCAGCTGGTCAATCCCGTGACGTCATCCATGTGATCAGAATCACTGCTATGATCAAACCGTTCTAAAAAACAATTTATTCAGCACGTTAGTAAAATGAATGTTTTGTGTTCCCAGCAAATACATGAAGGAAAGACGAAATTGTATCAAGCCTGTTTGTGCACTGCAACATAAATAGACATAAATAAATCAACCACCCAGTTATGGTTTGTTAAGGAAAAGACATGCTATCCAGGGGGGAGTAGAAATACCCCTAGTTCCTTCAAGCTACATAGAAACCACAGATAAGCGCCGGCCTGATAGGCCACTTGGTTCATATGCAGACTGTACCTATGACCTAACGAGGTTACAGTGATAAACCTTTTAGCAATAGCACAGAAGGACGACCACAAGCTGCACATTTATGTTGCTTGATTTGGAATAGCAGAACCGTGTACACGTTTGTAAAGTATAGGCATAATTATAATCCATCAAATATTTCCGCTCGCGCGCAATTGGTCTAAACGAATCACGTGAATGAATATTGCCCAGCAAAAACTGGGGAATATCCGAGTGATATTCCCCAATTTTCAAAACCGCGCGTGTTGCGGAAAACATTTGAAGGATAATAAACACAATAACCTCCATTTGGGCGAATATATGCTCGGATATTTGTCCTTGGACATTATCTGTCCCTCAAAACTCACGGGCCATTCTTTATTTATTGAGATCTAACACATGTGCAGCGAACATTCAGTCAGTGCAGCGCTTTTATATAATGTATTTCACAAAATCTTGCTACTTACTTTTTTGAGTGGTTTTGAACACCACAATGTTATATGAAGCTGTGGATGGCTCGTGGAATGCGGCGCACAGTTTGTGGTGTGCCACGGACAGGAGCCTGGGCGTCTCATGGCAGTACAACATCATCAGAGGGGCCAGGGCTTCCTGAGCGAACGGGAAAAGGCGCCAAATCTTGATCACGCGGTCTGAAAGAAAAAAAATTAGAGCAATTGTTTTAATAAGGTTAATAAACAAACTGAGAGAAATAGCAGCAAATAAATAATTGATGCATTTATTTAAATTAAAGATTCTGATGCGAACTTAACATAACGTTGTGCGGTCGAGTAATATCTCTTTTTCAAGTCAGGAATATCCGACTAAAACAGAGCAAAATTATAAAGAAAGCATCACAACTACAAGCTGAATTTACACGTATACATGTACGTGTATGTTCGGCATTAAGCGGGTATAACAACAAGCACAAAAACTTTTATCATGGAGTTATGTCGAAACGGAGACATTTGCATGTCTGCTTCGTTGAGATTGCAAAAGTTTCAGTTCAAAACATCCGTTTGAATTAAAGATTAAAAAAACGGCGTAATATAGAAAGCGGTAAATTTATATGCAATACAATGAAACCTAAGTAGGAACAAAGAAATGGCTTAAAATGAAGATAGTTCAGTTTCTTGACCTAAACCTGGTTCAAGAAATAGAAATTGCAAGAAGGCTTCGTCATCTACTATTTCTTGATGACAGCCATAGCAAAAGAAAGCGGGAAAACTCATGAATAAGTTGCGATGCCAGTTGCACATGTATATAACTAGCTGTTTGTTTCACGCTGCCAGGTTATTCGGCCACATGACAAGAAGTAAAAATCGCTGTTGTTTCGCAGCAAATCGAGAACAGAAAGGTTAGCGAATGCTCGCGATGAACTGCAGTGAAGATGATTGATGATGATTTTGACGCACACAAACGATAAATGCGCGCGCAGTTTACGTTAGACTGCGCGTGCAATATGTAACTCTTACAAGCATTTTTCATAATGAACCTTTTCGGAGTTATTGATAAAACAAAGAATTTCGACTCACCCAGACCAGCAGATACGACTTGATCAACTACTGGATTAGCTACCATGGTTATCACCTCGTCTCTGTGCGCCTGGAAAAACGAAGGCATACAGGTACTTGAAATCTCACTCTATATGACTTACAAACTCTACAATGTACGTTTTCTCGTTTGAATGTCGAATGGTTCGCACAGCTTTTCCGAAAGTACTATTTTGAGGGAAAGTTCGCGACATTTTGGAGGAAGAGATTTTGTCACGTTTGATCTCCCAACAAGAAACAGTTGCTACTGTAATCATTTCAATAAAGGACGTTTTTCCAGTCTCGCATCGATAAACGATCAATGAAAGTTATTTTAGATGAGGAGAGTACAAAAATATAGCCTCACCTCAATTTGAAAGGACACTTTGCCGGGGGTCTTTTCGTTCTGCCAGTCAAACACGACAATCAGACCATTGACACAGCCACCGAGCAGCAGGGTTCGGTCATAAGCATTAACACTCTGTCCTTGATTCTCAAGTTCCTCTGCTCTTTTCTTGGTTTTCAGGTTGGTGACCAGGTCTCCCCACGAATCGCCTTCAAGCTCGTCCTACAAACAGACAACAAGTCATTTAGTAAGTTTGGATTCATTTCTTTTAAAAAGACATTCTATACTAGTTCTTAGAAAGTCTCGCAAAATTGGGGGATAGAGCCCCCGTGTTATAGTGTCTTTGGGCGTGGAACTAAAGTTGGCAGATCTGGAGATAAGGCAAAATACCACTCACGACTATCAAATCTTTGAATTCGTCCTTCTCAAACGCATTAATAATTCAGCAAGTTTAAACAAAGGGAATCATGACCGCGACGGTGTTTGGATATCTGATTTTTACTATTTTATTTCTCCATTTTCTCCTTAGCTTTAGTTTCGATTGAGAAGAAATATCAAACACTCAAGACCGTTTTTGGCCACATTTCCAAACACCTCGAAGTTCGTCAAAAAATACTCCGGTACAAGTCGTATTTTTAGCTCTCTGCTCGGTGTTTGGAATGTGGTCTAACACGGTCTTTCGTGTTTGGTATAATATCACATCAGCTTTTTTTTTTTGGCAGATTGAAAATTACGTTGTAAACTTGTTAAGATAATTAATAAGAAATACAGAATACAACTGATCTGCGTCTCTCACCTCAACGACATATTCATAAAGACAAAGACAAGTACACGAACTCGGTGCTGAAAACGAGAAAAAGTAAAATAATTAGTAATAATGCATTGAGAAAATCCATCTAAAAAAAAACTTTGCAATGGAGCTCACGTCGTCTTAAGACACAAAATGCACAACTTTACCATCTGGATTGGTCTTTGTGTCCCACTCTTGAATTTTCTTGCACGGATTAGTCCTAGTGGATGCCTTTAAGATTTTACCACATGAGAGCAAGGTAAATAGTAGATCTACAAACAAAGCAGAAAAGTAGAATTGAGCGACAATAGAACGGTTTCCACAATGAAGCTACACTGTACACGTGTCAAAATTTCCACAAATACAGGTCAATGTACTGCAGACGGTAACCAAAAATCTATATATCAGGTCTGGCTTGTTTTAGTTGGAGAACTGGGTTTCACTGGTCTTGATAGAAAGGGGAAAATTCAAATGATTGTCCTTCCTATCCGTTGTTGTGGAACAGAGTTTCAGGTTAGGACTGAGACAGTAGTCCAGGTCCTACTCAGATAGCAAAGCCATTGCGGTCTGAAGACCAGTTCTTTATACTGTTGGCAAGCCTTTGACTAACAATTTAAGTTATTCATCTGCCGACATTATCATGTGCTTTTTTTCACGCTGGGGAAAGGGAGCAGGCTGATCGGAAGAATTTTGGCTCGAGGCGATGAAAACTTGCACGTCAAATGGACAGGTTCGAACAGGTACAGCTGTATGTGATGTTAATAAACTATTTGCAGTGTAATCATGTAATTCTCTCCTTTTTTTCTTAATTCCTTTTCCACATACTTTCAGCAGCAGCGTAAGCCACATCAGCAATGATACTCATGCTTGGTAACAGCATTGTGGTGATACACTCTCCGGAGCCTGGAGACAACAGGCGTACTGTGGCGTCACTACACGTGCACACCAGTCTTAACGGCATCTGGACAATAAAGAGACGTAAGACTGGCTTTATCATGAAATAACAGTGTTACACAATCACGATTAGTTGACGGTGGATTTGTATTCAGGCAACAAATGACGTAAAGTAGGGAAAGGAATACAATGGGGAACTTGTCTCTAAAGTGTACACAAACTGCGGTATTCTCTCAAACTACTCAAGAATTAGATCACTGTATCAGCGCAAGATTTTTTACCACGCATAGAAATCGACAGCAAGTGATCTATTTGTTTTAAATTATATTTTGTACTAGTCGTTCATAATATTATCTAAATCGTCTTCACAGACACTTCAAAAACGCAAAGAAGCGGCCGTCATTTTGTTAACAACAGCACAGTGCTAGTGTATTCACTAGCTATCACAGAATAATAGTGAGGAGCGTAGCCAATAACGGAGCGGCATTCGTGATAGAACGCTAGTAGATTTATTTTCGAATTATATCCTTAAATGAAAGTATCGAGTCTCATCTCGGTTGGTATTCTGATTGCGCGTAAAAATCATTAATTTTGCTGTTCACGCTGGCTCCAGTCACGTTAAAAGAATGGGTAGAAAGAAAACGAGAAAATTCGTGAAACCCAAACGAGCCTAATACTGTAGCTGTCATCTACATGTATGTTGATTGTATATACAGTACATGCATGTACATTCCGGTCAGACACAAATTAATGAAACTGCAGAAATGAATATTTCAAAGGCATCACTTACTCTGGGATGTGTCGTGGGCTTGATGGATTTGATTTTACTTCTGCAAAAGAAATAAACAATTCTTTCAAGCATTTGTACATATGTACATCCACCTCCATAATAACATTTCACAAATAAACAATAAAATTAATTTAGTACCTTTTTTTGTTCCTTTCCTTCTTACTATACCAGTTTTTCATTACTCTGTTCAAGTTATTTTGAGTAGAGGATTTAGCAGTTTTTAAATCGTGCTGCTGACTCTAAAAACATTACCAAACTTCAAGTATCTTCATTAATCAATGCTAAAGTTCGTTCCAGTTTAATAAGTAGTTAGATCTTTCAAGTAAGAGACTGCATAAGCCAGTAAATGAGAACAACGTATTTCCTAGACCTCTTTTAAAATTTGACTTCACTCACCCTACAGTTGCAAAGACACTATGGATGTGCTCGATCCTCCACAACTCAATAGACCTCCGTCCAAATGAGTACAAGTCACTCTTTCCTGCAATAGTCCCGAGTCCCATGACTGCTTCCTTAGTGTCTATTCTATCGACTTCATCAGCTGTATCCAAACTCCAGACTCTGATGGTACAGTCACTTGAACCTGACATGATGTAAGTACCAAACGGGTATACCGCCAATGTGTCGACTGACTTTAAATGGCCGACAAAGATGATCTTGATGTTGCCTCTGTCATCCCAGACTTTAATGGAGCCATCTTTTGCTCCTGTAATAAGGTACTAATGAAAGAGAATACCTACCAGGTGAAGTTAAAATAAATGCATCATTGTATTTTAATAAGTTCTATGGTTACATGCAGAGTGTAGCCTCTTTTCATTGCATGTGCCGTCTGATAAAAGCTATCATTAATAATATTTTGAATAACAGAATTGCATTTGACTGTATATGAACGTTAAATTTTTTTAATTAGATTTTTCTGGGATAAAAAAATGCATATTTGTTCAAACATTTTAGATCTACACTACCTGTAAGGTTGGGTTTTTATAAATTTCTCATTAAACTCCAAGAGAGAGCAAAATGAAAAAAGTGGGATGTGGGGTGATACCACACCCAAAATACTGGCTATTGTCTTTCTCCACTTAGGCCAACACAGTTGTTGTAAACCATGCTCAGCATGCAAAGAAATTCATGTCTGATAGCTCGCGAGTGGTGAATTTTGAAGTTGGGCTAATGGATTCTGTTCTTCACTTGCCTGGCGGACAAGTGAAGCCTACTGGATTAAAATTTCAGAGAATTCAAATTCAAGAATTATGTAGATGTCATGTAGTGTAAGAAATCCAGTTATTGTACACGTATCAATTGAATTTTTAGTCAGTCATTTATGCTAGTGGGATAGTTTATTTTGTGCTGGTGAAAAAGAACTGCCAGGCTTGTATGTCCCAGCTATAGCTTGCCCAAAATGACAAGCTGGAAAACTCATTTGCGTTGGATCCCACATGCTCAAAAGTTAGTCAAGGCTTACTTTTTTGTATGAAAATGTTTCTCAGTGCTTAAATTTTGGTTGTTGAGATTTGCTTCCTGTTAAGGGGGAGAAGCTATTTTCTTTCTTGCTTCCTGCAAAGACGCAAGTAACTGGCACATACAAATTCTTTCACAGTTTACACACAGTTTGCTTGTACATCCACGTACCTTGAGTGGATTGAAGAACAGTACAGCAGTGATCTCTCTAGGGTGCAGCTCTTTCAGATGACCCACACAAGATCCATTCAGAAGGTTGTAAATAATTACATTATTATGATACACTGCAAAGCATCTCTGAGATCTGCTGGGAGTGTCCTCCAGACATAGCAATGATATAGTACTAGCCGGTGGCATACCTTCCTGAAATTTGGCCATAAAATTATTTTGTGAATATTTTTAAAACATAATTTGCATTGCTGTTAATAATAATAAAGTATTGTACATGTACCTAAACTCTCTACAGCTCTTTGAACAGACATGAATATCACAAAAAAAAGAAGATAGAAATGTAATAACTGTTTCAAGACTCACCAACAGAACTTTGCGCTGAAGTAAAAACTTTGCGCCATATCTAAAGCTCCAGCACTAAAAAGAAAGAAAACATAATAAAGGTTTATTCATTATTATGTGACTGTAAACTACATGACTGCACAGTAATTTATTACTGCACAGCAATTTTTAGAAAGGTCAATAAGAACGATCCCTTAAGGGTAATGTAACTGATTATTCCAATTTGCCAATGTTTGCTTGTTGTTGCTGATATTAGGGGCTTTTGTGATGGGGAATATTGGGGGACTACATGGTGACTTTAAAATCATACAATTAAACACAATTGAATGGAGTTAACAACAATGAGCACAAGTCGCACCTTTGAAGTTAGTGGCATTCAGATATATGTGCCTGGATTCCAGGTGCTCTTGGACCACAGTACAAGCATTGTAGCGGTTGATTTTTAGATGTCCCACACAAGATCAATTTAGAAGGTTATGGGGGCACTTCTCACAACCTGTTCCTCTCCCCTTACCGCCTCCTCTCATCCCACATTTTAAATTCATTCAGATCAATCTGAGATTCACACATTAGTTGAGCTAAAATTATAACACTGTCTCAGATGAGTACTTACCGTGACATTTCCAACTCCTCCAGTTACGATCTCATTTGTTGCTTCATTATACACTCCACTAAACCAAAAAATAACACATGTACATGTATGTGTGAGAACAGCGTCCTCTTTGTGACTCAAATAAGAAATTTTAATTAAAGTTAAAAGAGGAAATTCCTGCATCTTGTTTTACCTGTAGACCAGTAAATCAAAGCGGCCTTAACAGCATTGTACACATATGGTTTGACAACTTCTCAGTTATGAATTTCAACACTATTTTTGTCGTAATTATTTTACTAAATACCCACGGCAGGAAATGAAATCTATACATTGCACAACTGTACATGTTACTTGTTTGCAAAAAAAAAAAAAAATTATTTGGAAGTTTATTTAATGTTTGCTTGGAAGGCATGTTTTTAAAATTAGTTTCACTAATAAAATCTAACTAATATAAATAAATTTAAGGAAAGGGATTAGTTCAACCAGTTAATGGTAACTTTCAGAACTTGTGTCAATACCATTTAAGTAAAAAAAATTACCTGAATATCCTGCTGACTGAGGATGCCACACTTATGACTTTGAAGCCATCTGACAATAACTACAGAACATTCAAGTTATTAAAAAAATGCTAATTACAAAAAGACTACATTTGTCACTAAAATAAATATTGCTATGGCACACTGTTACGTATTTTTTATTACATGTATCTACACTATAATTGTTCTGAAGCAAAACTAGTGAATTTTTTTTTAATATTCTCCATCTCTCGCCCAACAATGACAAAAAAAAAAGAATACCACAGAGTAACAACTAAACTATACCCAAAGGTACATGTATACAGTCAGATATGAGAAATGATAATTACTGGTAGACAGATAAGATATATTTTGTTTCAGTGGTTCACCACAAATTCATATTATGTGTACATTGTCTGTATTGGTCTCATATTAGTGTCATATACGTTTACAATCAGGGCACATAACAATACTCATCATATATCTAATTAGTGCCATGTTCCCGCTGACGGTATAATTGCTCCACAGCAGAAAAGGAGTGATAATCAGCTGAATAATGGATGACTGTTTTTACTTATGGCCATGGCTAATAAGCTCACTACTCTACAAATAAATACATGTGGCTCCCTTTTGAATAATACAGTTGTAGTTTGATCAAGTAAGACCCACCATACACTCATTGTACATGTATATTAGGAAAACTGTGGTCAGTTAGTATGTAGTATATTGCAGTTATAGAAAAAAAAGCAGCTAATGGAAATCTGCAACAAATTTATCTAATAGTTGCTCAATAGAATCCCCTACACTACAGGTTGATAAACAGCTTGAATACCAACGGATAACAAAAGTTTCTATGAGCCTCCAGGCTTGACAGCTGGACATTCGCTTGTCAGCTGATGATAATTGATCCAGCTCAGGAAGAAATTTTCATTACATTTGAATTCATACAAAGGCTGAAAGATCACCTTAACAAATATTATTTTTCAATTTTTTGCCTTGGTTTTCCCAGATAGAAAAATCTTTGCTTCTGTGCATATGGTCCAGAGATTTTTCTACCTTACTGAACTAGCTGTTCTTGATATTGATAACTTTTCTGGGCAGAGAAGTACAAACTGTGTGTCATGTACATGTATGCAAAGAATTATCAGTGGCCCTACGAGATTTAATTAAATTTATCTTTTAATTATATATTTTGATTAAGCCCGTATAGTTAACAACATATTAGAAGTTTACTTACTCTTATATTTTCATCAAATCCCCAGGCAACATAGAATCTAGTTCTCCTTGCATACACTATCCCACAAATGGGATCTCTTAGGATTTTGCTGTTGATATCTTCTCTGTAACCGGTTCTCAAAAACACAGACGCTTTACCCTCGCAGTCGATCCCAACGAAGTTATCATTGAAAGAGTTGAAAGTTACAAAAGAAAGGTCTTCCTCGGACTCCAAAGAACTGACTGGATGGACGCCGTGCCCGACATTTCGAGCCTGTTTTTCATCCAGTTTCTTGGGGTCGTCGCCATGTTCTTGTTTGATTGCTGTCTTGATAAGTTTCCAGTGCGAGCTAACTTTTAACTCTGATTCATCAAAAACCGGCCGCTTGGTCCGTGTTTCGATTAGCTGCATGAGTTTACTTGTCATGTTGAAATCGTAGAGCTTCGAGGTGATCTATACGAACATAAATTCCTCTGTCATTTTGCAAAGTAAGCTTACTTCACCTCAAAATAGCGAGCTGACTTCCCGCCAAACCCTTCTGAGGCAAGTAGAATTAGTGCGAAATCAATCTGACCATTCCCATGTTCTGCGGTTTTCCGTTATCTTAAAATATAGGTCGTTTATCTTCAGCGGTACCAGAGAACTCCTGATATTAAAGTCATCCCACAGTGTCTTGCTCCACAACAGCCACTCAAACTGGCCACTTTAGTTTAATTTCTATGGCAACGCATGTCATCAAAGGCAGGATAGGTATAATTTATGCATCATATATGACATAGTTTTTGTTAATCCGCTGGACAAAATTGTAAAACAATCTTCCTCGAACTGTCTCTTTCTGGCGATTTTTTCTCGCTCCTTTCGATTAACCCATTCATTCATCACAATTCCGTGGGTTTACACGTCACTACTTGCTATGTCAAGCCCACATACTACACGTCCGTGTGAATATTATGATCTACGAGTAGTGGGATCATTCAAGATCGGTCGATCTCCCCTCTGTAACATAATATTGAAGAATGGCCATGTCAGCAAAGTACACTGTAGTTTGAACATCTCCAGCAAGGAAGATCACTGCTCAAGGTAAGCTTACCAGCTTCTATTTAGGGCATTATTTTACGTAATTTCTCAAGCAAGGCATTGACGACAAAATGGTGGAAATGAGACTACATGTCGATTCTTTGCCTCCATTATGTGACCACTGGGTTTTACAAAGATCTCGCTAAAGGGCAAGATTGTTACATGTACTTCCTGTATACTATCAAAATGATCCGAGATATTAAAATATTAACTCGTTTTCTTCTGTTCAGAGTCTCTTGAAAAGAGGGTTTGGTTAATATATTCTTTACATAACTCTGATTGTTTTTGCTGTTTTGTGAACTCTAGATTACTTTTATTAGACATTTATAAGACAAAAGTTTTGACATTTTTAGTGAAAATGTTTCCTTTTTTTTTTACTTCTGGTGGGTTTTGAATCAGAATCTTTTTTTTTCATTTGGCAGATTTTGACTAGTACTGTTCAGTTGCACTAGCAGTTATTCAGGTTAACAGGCCAGGCCCAAATCACAAATGAATGTAGTCACTAACTTTGAAAAGTCTCTCTATTGACAGGGGTGAATTTTTACATATGACATCCAGTACGGCAGATTCTGTTGCATGGGTGTTTGGTATATAAGATTTTGCCATTTAAGGTGCAATCAGTGTCCACATACTTGCATAAAAAAAAATTCTGGGTGAAACCCAACATATTTTTAGATACCATTACCATCGGCCACACTGGCATCATGACAAACAATGTGTTTTGTACTGTACCCCTCACCCTGCACTGCCCTTCCCCCTATAAATCCTTCATCAGTTACTGTGCTATACCTCTCTACACTCCACACTCAGATCATGATAAGCTTTCTTGGCTGACCCTGGGTGGAGTTGTTTCACTGTCAGCTGCCCCGCAAATTAAACAACCAACTGGTTTGTTTCCTGCCAGTTGAGGTTTTTAACCCTGTTACTGTTCAGTTTTAATACTGAAATTATATGTTTCTGACACTGAATTGCACCACTCTACTGGCCTTTGTGCTATAAACGTTGACCAATGATAAATAAAGGTCTTCAGGACCCCATAACGCCATCAAATCGGCCAGATATTTCTTCTGTTTCTCATTATTTAATAAGCTTCCCTTCTCAAATGTGTTAAATGAATTAAACCGGGTACTCTTTGATGTGTTTCTGTTTTTAAAATGTCCTTTCTTTCAGCACTGGAACTAAAAAGCAAGTGCTGATATCGGACCACAGCTCAAATGGAACATGGATAACTTCTAGTAGTGGAGAAACAATTAAACTTGAACAGGGAAAGCCCACTTTACTGAAGGAAGGCGATGTCATTCTTCTAACACGTTCAACGGAAGCAAATCTCGAAGTCATTTCCTATAAGTATTGTTCATCTCCATTTCCAAGAATTGCAAAGAACAAACAAGAAGAAGCTTTGCATCAAGACAGTGCAGGGATGCTTCAATGTCAAGCAGAGAATATTACAAAGAGCAACAAGGCAAACACTAGAATACATTTGAAAAGACAGCATGAACCTTATGGTCAAGGAAGAAGCCCGAGAAAAGTTAGATTTAAGGTGCAAATCGAGGAGAGCATTGATAATCATAACCCTTTGATTGGAGGCAGCATCAAAGAAGAAGAACAGTCCACAGGGGGCCTTGATGACTGTGCTGGTTCTGTTACCGACAAAGGAAGCGTTGCTGTAAAGGAGTTGAACGATACCACCCTTTATATTGATAAAACAACCTCTCGCGGTAATGACGATCAAGGCATAACTCACACTACCACCCTATCTTCACACGTCCCATCTCCCCCTTCATCTCCCGAACGTCTCTCAGGGTTGTCCAAAGTTTGCAGTAGTGACAAGAAACATGATTCTCTGCTGGAAGGAGAAACAACAAAATGTGAAGCATTAGGACAAACAGGTGACTGCAATGCAGTTGAGGATGATAGTGCCCACTATGATAAGTGTGTTCATTGTGAGAAGTGGATTCCACATGTGACGCTGTCTTTGCATGAAGCAGTTTGTGAAGGTCAAAGCCAAGAGGCTAGAAGTCAAGATCATGTCTCATTATCATCGCTTCCACTTGGAGATTGTTCGTTCAGCGGGGAAACTTTGTCAAAGATTCAGAGATTGGAAAAATGTTTACTGGATGAAGTTGAAGATGATATCAGCGTTTCAGATGAGGCAAGGGAGCCAGAGTTGACTGGACAAATAAACAAAGGCGAGAGCGATCCAAAAAGTATGCAGGATGAAACATGTGAGAAAAAAAATATCGAAGCCGTCACGACTTTACCAAGTGCTTCTTGTGATCTTCCAGATGAGAGCACTGAGTCAGTTATTATAAGCACATCCACTGTTATAAGCAGTGAATCTCGAGACAAAATACAGGAGAAAATAGTGACAAAGATTTCAAATTCATCACCGGAACAACGTCAGTTACTGCTAGGTTCTCACAATGAAGGTGACGGATTTACTTCCCCTCATCAGTGTGAACCCACCATCTCCAGAGAAGAGTCTAAAGAAAGATGTACGTTTTGTTCAAAAGTACTTCCAGTGTCAGAACTCATTGCTCACGCTTCTGAATGTTCCAAGATGAGTGCAGTTCCTCGTACAGACTGCGGTGACGCAGAGAACATGCGTGAGGCATGTCCTTACTGTGGCGGATATTTCGAGGTACTGGAACTTGTGGAACATGTTACTCGCTGCAGTGAAGTTTCTAGGTTAAAAGCTGAAGAAGTCTCGTTGAACGATAGTTCTCCATCCTCCTCGGTAACAGGAGCCGCTGACTGTGTGGAAGATCCTTCAGTGGGTGATAGAGAGCTGTGTCCCAAATGCCGTCGAGAGTTTTCCGTGTTGGAGTTATTAAATCACGCTGATGAATGTAAAGAAGAACCACTCAGTACAAGCTCAGATGTAGAGTCCTCTCTGGAAGATGCTAGGGACCTTGTAGGCTCCATGGCTAGTGATGGTGACAAAGGCGTTCAAGACGTTGTTGACAATGATAGTAAAGATGATATTGGTCATGAAGTTTGTGAGTTGGAGAGTTGTGATAGCCTTGATCATGACAAAAGCAAACGTGATAGCCATATTTCGTCGAGTGATGCCACGTGTGGCGATAAAGATGATCGAATCACTGAAGCAGATCATGATGTTGATGGTGGCAGTGCTTACGATGATGTTAACAAAGACGAAGGTCGCGAGGATAAAGAAGGTGAAGCTGATGATGATAATGAAGAAAACGATGTTGATAGTGATAAATCCAGTAGAGGAAATACGGACGATGGTGACGTCTCTCGTGGTGACAGTTGCTATGACGACGATTCACATTCTGACAGAAGTAGTATCTCCAATACGAAAGACGAAGATTCTAAATCTGACGAAGGAGATGACAAAAGTGACGAATATAGTGCACGTACAAACAAGTACCTTGAGAATAAAGGTACATGTGGCGTCGACGATTCCGTTGACGCTGTGCCATATTCTGAGGCTAGCGTCCCTAGCGACGAATTTGAGCTATGCCCAAATTGTTTTCAACTCTTTCATCTGTCCCGTTTGGTCGTACATGCATCGAACTGCGTTAGTGATGTTTCAGCCGTGAGTAAAGCTGTAGAAACGGCGACTGCGACAGATTTCAAAAAGAGCTCTCTATTTAATCCGTCAACAGAAAGCACGATTGCTGTCTTTAGCGACTGCCACTTTTGTGGAGTGAAATTTCCTGTTGATGTCATGAGTAAACATTATCCTAGATGCAAAAGTCTACACTCCCAAAGAATGATAAGCGAAGTATTACTTAGAACAGAAAAAAGTGATCCTGTTGAAGGTTTCCCCGAGCATGTCATTCGTACAGACAACCTGAGTACTAGAACAACAGTTAAAGATGAGAAGACCGCGAAGTGCTTAGCAACCTCGACAAAAACAGGTGATGAATCCTCGAAATCGTCAAATAGTAAAGCGGCCAAGTTACAAGTAGCCGATGATGGTGATGACAGAGAACTGGGGGAATCTAAAATTAGCCTGAAAAAAACAACATCCTCACTGGACTCATATCATGACTGCGAAGAACAGTGCATGTACTGCTTGAAGATGTTTGCTGTGAGTGTGCTTGTGGAACACGTTTGCAGCTGTGNACACAATTGAATGGAGTTAACAACAATGAGCACAAGTCGCACCTTTGAAGTTAGTGGCATTCAGATATATGTGCCTGGATTCCAGGTGCTCTTGGACCACAGTACAAGCATTGTAGCGGTTGATTTTTAGATGTCCCACACAAGATCAATTTAGAAGGTTATGGGGGCACTTCTCACGACCTGTTCCTCTCCCCTTACCGCCTCCTCTCATCCCACATTTTAAATTCATTCAGATCAATCTGAGATTCACACATTAGTTGAGCTAAAATTATAACACTGTCTCAGATGAGTACTTACCGTGACATTTCCAACTCCTCCAGTTACGATCTCATTTGTTGCTTCATTATACACTCCACTAAACCAAAAAATAACACATGTACATGTATGTGTGAGAACAGCGTCCTCTTTGTGACTCAAATAAGAAATTTTAATTAAAGTTAAAAGAGGAAATTCCTGCATCTTGTTTTACCTGTAGACCAGTAAATCAAAGCGGCCTTAACAGCATTGTACACATATGGTTTGACAACTTCTCAGTTATGAATTTCAACACTATTTTTGTCGTAATTATTTTACTAAATACCCACGGCAGGAAATGAAATCTATACATTGCACAACTGTACATGTTACTTGTTTGCAAAAAAAAAAAAAAATTATTTGGAAGTTTATTTAATGTTTGCTTGGAAGGCATGTTTTTAAAATTAGTTTCACTAATAAAATCTAACTAATATAAATAAATTTAAGGAAAGGGATTAGTTCAACCAGTTAATGGTAACTTTCAGAACTTGTGTCAATACCATTTAAGTAAAAAAAATTACCTGAATATCCTGCTGACTGAGGATGCCACACTTATGACTTTGAAGCCATCTGACAATAACTACAGAACATTCAAGTTATTAAAAAAATGCTAATTACAAAAAGACTACATTTGTCACTAAAATAAATATTGCTATGGCACACTGTTACGTATTTTTTATTACATGTATCTACACTATAATTGTTCTGAAGCAAAACTAGTGAATTTTTTTTTAATATTCTCCATCTCTCGCCCAACAATGACAAAAAAAAAAGAATACCACAGAGTAACAACTAAACTATACCCAAAGGTACATGTATACAGTCAGATATGAGAAATGATAATTACTGGTAGACAGATAAGATATATTTTGTTTCAGTGGTTCACCACAAATTCATATTATGTGTACATTGTCTGTATTGGTCTCATATTAGTGTCATATACGTTTACAATCAGGGCACATAACAATACTCATCATATATCTAATTAGTGCCATGTTCCCGCTGACGGTATAATTGCTCCACAGCAGAAAAGGAGTGATAATCAGCTGAATAATGGATGACTGTTTTTACTTATGGCCATGGCTAATAAGCTCACTACTCTACAAATAAATACATGTGGCTCCCTTTTGAATAATACAGTTGTAGTTTGATCAAGTAAGACCCACCATACACTCATTGTACATGTATATTAGGAAAACTGTGGTCAGTTAGTATGTAGTATATTGCAGTTATAGAAAAAAAAGCAGCTAATGGAAATCTGCAACAAATTTATCTAATAGTTGCTCAATAGAATCCCCTACACTACAGGTTGATAAACAGCTTGAATACCAACGGATAACAAAAGTTTCTATGAGCCTCCAGGCTTGACAGCTGGACATTCGCTTGTCAGCTGATGATAATTGATCCAGCTCAGGAAGAAATTTTCATTACATTTGAATTCATACAAAGGCTGAAAGATCACCTTAACAAATATTATTTTTCAATTTTTTGCCTTGGTTTTCCCAGATAGAAAAATCTTTGCTTCTGTGCATATGGTCCAGAGATTTTTCTACCTTACTGAACTAGCTGTTCTTGATATTGATAACTTTTCTGGGCAGAGAAGTACAAACTGTGTGTCATGTACATGTATGCAAAGAATTATCAGTGGCCCTACGAGATTTAATTAAATTTATCTTTTAATTATATATTTTGATTAAGCCCGTATAGTTAACAACATATTAGAAGTTTACTTACTCTTATATTTTCATCAAATCCCCAGGCAACATAGAATCTAGTTCTCCTTGCATACACTATCCCACAAATGGGATCTCTTAGGATTTTGCTGTTGATATCTTCTCTGTAACCGGTTCTCAAAAACACAGACGCTTTACCCTCGCAGTCGATCCCAACGAAGTTATCATTGAAAGAGTTGAAAGTTACAAAAGAAAGGTCTTCCTCGGACTCCAAAGAACTGACTGGATGGACGCCGTGCCCGACATTTCGAGCCTGTTTTTCATCCAGTTTCTTGGGGTCGTCGCCATGTTCTTGTTTGATTGCTGTCTTGATAAGTTTCCAGTGCGAGCTAACTTTTAACTCTGATTCATCAAAAACCGGCCGCTTGGTCCGTGTTTCGATTAGCTGCATGAGTTTACTTGTCATGTTGAAATCGTAGAGCTTCGAGGTGATCTATACGAACATAAATTCCTCTGTCATTTTGCAAAGTAAGCTTACTTCACCTCAAAATAGCGAGCTGACTTCCCGCCAAACCCTTCTGAGGCAAGTAGAATTAGTGCGAAATCAATCTGACCATTCCCATGTTCTGCGGTTTTCCGTTATCTTAAAATATAGGTCGTTTATCTTCAGCGGTACCAGAGAACTCCTGATATTAAAGTCATCCCACAGTGTCTTGCTCCACAACAGCCACTCAAACTGGCCACTTTAGTTTAATTTCTATGGCAACGCATGTCATCAAAGGCAGGATAGGTATAATTTATGCATCATATATGACATAGTTTTTGTTAATCCGCTGGACAAAATTGTAAAACAATCTTCCTCGAACTGTCTCTTTCTGGCGATTTTTTCTCGCTCCTTTCGATTAACCCATTCATTCATCACAATTCCGTGGGTTTACACGTCACTACTTGCTATGTCAAGCCCACATACTACACGTCCGTGTGAATATTATGATCTACGAGTAGTGGGATCATTCAAGATCGGTCGATCTCCCCTCTGTAACATAATATTGAAGAATGGCCATGTCAGCAAAGTACACTGTAGTTTGAACATCTCCAGCAAGGAAGATCACTGCTCAAGGTAAGCTTACCAGCTTCTATTTAGGGCATTATTTTACGTAATTTCTCAAGCAAGGCATTGACGACAAAATGGTGGAAATGAGACTACATGTCGATTCTTTGCCTCCATTATGTGACCACTGGGTTTTACAAAGATCTCGCTAAAGGGCAAGATTGTTACATGTACTTCCTGTATACTATCAAAATGATCCGAGATATTAAAATATTAACTCGTTTTCTTCTGTTCAGAGTCTCTTGAAAAGAGGGTTTGGTTAATATATTCTTTACATAACTCTGATTGTTTTTGCTGTTTTGTGAACTCTAGATTACTTTTATTAGACATTTATAAGACAAAAGTTTTGACATTTTTAGTGAAAATGTTTCCTTTTTTTTTTACTTCTGGTGGGTTTTGAATCAGAATCTTTTTTTTTCATTTGGCAGATTTTGACTAGTACTGTTCAGTTGCACTAGCAGTTATTCAGGTTAACAGGCCAGGCCCAAATCACAAATGAATGTAGTCACTAACTTTGAAAAGTCTCTCTATTGACAGGGGTGAATTTTTACATATGACATCCAGTACGGCAGATTCTGTTGCATGGGTGTTTGGTATATAAGATTTTGCCATTTAAGGTGCAATCAGTGTCCACATACTTGCATAAAAAAAAATTCTGGGTGAAACCCAACATATTTTTAGATACCATTACCATCGGCCACACTGGCATCATGACAAACAATGTGTTTTGTACTGTACCCCTCACCCTGCACTGCCCTTCCCCCTATAAATCCTTCATCAGTTACTGTGCTATACCTCTCTACACTCCACACTCAGATCATGATAAGCTTTCTTGGCTGACCCTGGGTGGAGTTGTTTCACTGTCAGCTGCCCCGCAAATTAAACAACCAACTGGTTTGTTTCCTGCCAGTTGAGGTTTTTAACCCTGTTACTGTTCAGTTTTAATACTGAAATTATATGTTTCTGACACTGAATTGCACCACTCTACTGGCCTTTGTGCTATAAACGTTGACCAATGATAAATAAAGGTCTTCAGGACCCCATAACGCCATCAAATCGGCCAGATATTTCTTCTGTTTCTCATTATTTAATAAGCTTCCCTTCTCAAATGTGTTAAATGAATTAAACCGGGTACTCTTTGATGTGTTTCTGTTTTTAAAATGTCCTTTCTTTCAGCACTGGAACTAAAAAGCAAGTGCTGATATCGGACCACAGCTCAAATGGAACATGGATAACTTCTAGTAGTGGAGAAACAATTAAACTTGAACAGGGAAAGCCCACTTTACTGAAGGAAGGCGATGTCATTCTTCTAACACGTTCAACGGAAGCAAATCTCGAAGTCATTTCCTATAAGTATTGTTCATCTCCATTTCCAAGAATTGCAAAGAACAAACAAGAAGAAGCTTTGCATCAAGACAGTGCAGGGATGCTTCAATGTCAAGCAGAGAATATTACAAAGAGCAACAAGGCAAACACTAGAATACATTTGAAAAGACAGCATGAACCTTATGGTCAAGGAAGAAGCCCGAGAAAAGTTAGATTTAAGGTGCAAATCGAGGAGAGCATTGATAATCATAACCCTTTGATTGGAGGCAGCATCAAAGAAGAAGAACAGTCCACAGGGGGCCTTGATGACTGTGCTGGTTCTGTTACCGACAAAGGAAGCGTTGCTGTAAAGGAGTTGAACGATACCACCCTTTATATTGATAAAACAACCTCTCGCGGTAATGACGATCAAGGCATAACTCACACTACCACCCTATCTTCACACGTCCCATCTCCCCCTTCATCTCCCGAACGTCTCTCAGGGTTGTCCAAAGTTTGCAGTAGTGACAAGAAACATGATTCTCTGCTGGAAGGAGAAACAACAAAATGTGAAGCATTAGGACAAACAGGTGACTGCAATGCAGTTGAGGATGATAGTGCCCACTATGATAAGTGTGTTCATTGTGAGAAGTGGATTCCACATGTGACGCTGTCTTTGCATGAAGCAGTTTGTGAAGGTCAAAGCCAAGAGGCTAGAAGTCAAGATCATGTCTCATTATCATCGCTTCCACTTGGAGATTGTTCGTTCAGCGGGGAAACTTTGTCAAAGATTCAGAGATTGGAAAAATGTTTACTGGATGAAGTTGAAGATGATATCAGCGTTTCAGATGAGGCAAGGGAGCCAGAGTTGACTGGACAAATAAACAAAGGCGAGAGCGATCCAAAAAGTATGCAGGATGGAACATGTGAGAAAAAAAATATCGAAGCCGTCACGACTTTGCCAAGTGCTTCTTGTGATCTTCCAGATGAGAGCACTGAGTCAGATATTATAAGCACATCCACTGTTATAAGCAGTGAATCTCGAGACAAAATACAGGAGAAAATAGTGACAAAGATTTCAAATTCATCACCGGAACAACGTCAGTTACTGCTAGGTTCTCACAATGAAGGTGACGGATTTACTTCCCCTCATCAGTGTGAACCCACCATCTCCAGAGAAGAGTCTAAAGAAAGATGTACGTTTTGTTCAAAAGTACTTCCAGTGTCAGAACTCATTGCTCACGCTTCTGAATGTTCCAAGATGAGTGCAGTTCCTCGTACAGACTGCGGTGACGCAGAGAACATGCGTGAGGCATGTCCTTACTGTGGCGGATATTTCGAGGTACTGGAACTTGTGGAACATGTTACTCGCTGCAGTGAAGTTTCTAGGTTAAAAGCTGAAGAAGTCTCGTTGAACGATAGTTCTCCATCCTCCTCGGTAACAGGAGCCGCTGACTGTGTGGAAGATCCTTCAGTGGGTGATAGAGAGCTGTGTCCCAAATGCCGTCGAGAGTTTTCCGTGTTGGAGTTATTAAATCACGCTGATGAATGTAAAGAAGAACCACTCAGTACAAGCTCAGATGTAGAGTCCTCTCTGGAAGATGCTAGGGACCTTGTAGGCTCCATGGCTAGTGATGGTGACAAAGGCGTTCAAGACGTTGTTGACAATGATAGTAAAGATGATATTGGTCATGAAGTTTGTGAGTTGGAGAGTTGTGATAGCCTTGATCATGACAAAAGCAAACGTGATAGCCATATTTCGTCGAGTGATGCCACGTGTGGCGATAAAGATGATCGAATCACTGAAGCAGATCATGATGTTGATGGTGGCAGTGCTTACGATGATGTTAACAAAGACGAAGGTCGCGAGGATAAAGAAGGTGAAGCTGATGATGATAATGAAGAAAACGATGTTGATAGTGATAAATCCAGTAGAGGAAATACGGACGATGGTGACGTCTCTCGTGGTGACAGTTGCTATGACGACGATTCACATTCTGACAGAAGTAGTATCTCCAATACGAAAGACGAAGATTCTAAATCTGACGAAGGAGATGACAAAAGTGACGAATATAGTGCACGTACAAACAAGTACCTTGAGAATAAAGGTACATGTGGCGTCGACGATTCCGTTGACGCTGTGCCATATTCTGAGGCTAGCGTCCCTAGCGACGAATTTGAGCTATGCCCAAATTGTTTTCAACTCTTTCATCTGTCCCGTTTGGTCGTACATGCATCGAACTGCGTTAGTGATGTTTCAGCCGTGAGTAAAGCTGTAGAAACGGCGACTGCGACAGATTTCAAAAAGAGCTCTCTATTTAATCCGTCAACAGAAAGCACGATTGCTGTCTTTAGCGACTGCCACTTTTGTGGAGTGAAATTTCCTGTTGATGTCATGAGTAAACATTATCCTAGATGCAAAAGTCTACACTCCCAAAGAATGATAAGCGAAGTATTACTTAGAACAGAAAAAAGTGATCCTGTTGAAGGTTTCCCCGAGCATGTCATTCGTACAGACAACCTGAGTACTAGAACAACAGTTAAAGATGAGAAGACCGCGAAGTGCTTAGCAACCTCGACAAAAACAGGTGATGAATCCTCGAAATCGTCAAATAGTAAAGCGGCCAAGTTACAAGTAGCCGATGATGGTGATGACAGAGAACTGGGGGAATCTAAAATTAGCCTGAAAAAAACAACATCCTCACTGGACTCATATCATGACTGCGAAGAACAGTGCATGTACTGCTTGAAGATGTTTGCTGTGAGTGTGCTTGTGGAACACGTTTGCAGCTGTGGAGATCGTTATGAGGTACGTTAACTTTTTTTTTTTTAATGTTCCATCAGTGTAAGGTCTATGTTGAGATGAGTGCGAATACAGTCACCGCAGAAAATTCACCTCGAGCAATGAGCGGCAACTGTGTTTGCAGGCGTACACATCAGCAGAAATAAATGGAATAACGCTCATGTATATACAGCGAAACTCTCGAGCCAAGCCAAACGAGAACGGTTTACAGTCGTGGCGAGTTACAGGATGAGCGTTGTACAGGAGTTTTCTCTGTTTAAATCTCAGCAGGCGTAAACGAAACGAGGAAAAGCTCACGACGAGTCGACTACAAGAAACATTTATCATATCATTTCTATCACAGATAATTTTCAGTTAGAGCGAAGATGTAGTTTCTTTTTCTTTCAGTCAAGTACAAGGAAAGTTAAACCTAACCGTCATTCGCTCGGTGAATTTTCCCGCCCTTTTAGCGAGCTATACCTTTCACCAGACGTAGTTTTTGGCTTTGTTATCATTTTAAAATTGGTTCTACAGTGATAAAGAAGTACATCGACTTCTCACTTTATAATTTAAACCCAGCAGGCAAGTTTCACTGTTTGCACCATTGCAACAAAATTGTCATATTTCGGCTTTATCTTCAATTCTCGTAGAATTCCGCTGATTCAAATGACCTTGAACAGTGCTGTTACTGCCTACAGACATTTCCCTTGAACGAGCTCATCAATCATGCACAGAATTGCGACCAGAAAACAATCTCTAGCAATCAGGTATGTTATGTGCTGTCATGTTGTGAAAATAATGATTGTCTTGCAGGGCCGTAGCCAAAAAAAATTATAACTGAGGCAATGTTCATGGTTAAATTTTCTTCCTATAGGCATTTAGCACCTTTCTGACTCCCCCTCTTCTAAAAAGAAACTATACAGAGACAAAAAAATGATTGAGGCAAGTGCCGCGGTTTGTCTCATACTGGCTATGGCCCTGTTTTGTCTTGTCTTCTCTTGCCTCCTCGAGGAAGTCAGTCTTTAGAATTTTCTAAAACGTTAAAAAATGGTTAAATGTCACGAGATGAGTTTTCGTGTTGTTTCACTTTGACCCTTCGTTTGTTTATGCGAGTGTAAAATGTTAATCCTTTTTCATAGGAGGATTCACAAGGCGACGCGGTTACAGCTAACAGCCAGTCGCACCCTGGAGAAGTGTTGGAGAGATGTATGTACTGTTTTAAGGACTTCCCCGTCANTTTTTTTTTTTTTTTTTGCAATAAAAACTAACGATAAAAAATCACGACCTTCCGACATTTCCGAGACCATTTGCTGTCTTCTCTTTAATGTTTGCTCTCTTCTCTTCACCACTAGCACCAAGTCAGCAAATAACAGGTTAGTACATGTAGTAATTTATCCTTTTAAATTTAACAGAGAAGGTGAGCTTTGGCAAGAAGTAACACGTTTAGAAATGCCATAACCGCGGAGATCTTAAATAACTTATAAATTGAACAGCTTCAGCCTGTGTTCCTTAGAAGCATCATATCATGAAGAAGGATCGTCTAACTAACTGCCTCCGCCTGCATTGTCATACGTCTATTACGGACACATTGAACGCTGTAGACTTCGCAAAGAAGTTTGTTTGTGCAATCGAACAACGCAACAGACATTTTGGAAAATACGAGTATGCGGTTGGGTTAACGATGACCTCTCTCATGTTTCAAAACGCTCCGAACTCCTGACTCTTTTCAATGATTTATTTTTCACAGGAGAAGTGTTGGAGAGATGTATGCACTGTTTTAAGGATTTTCCTGTCAGTGAATTGTTCCAGCACTCACAGAATTGCAAAGGAGATATGTCCGGACCCAGAGAGAGATTCCAAGGCTTCACTCCTTCTGTCCACGATGTAAGTTAGCATGAGAAAAGAATTTATATTAACCGTTCTTGGATTGAAACAAAAGACTTCTTTATCACTTTTAATTTTTTCAAAGCCGTTTATATTTTTGACACTGTAGTAGTTAATGACTAAACTTAATCCATGCCAAAATCGAACCCATGATAGGTCATGGGTTCGATTCCTGTCGGGGACTCAGATTTTTTCTTTGTCCCACGCTCGGGTCATGTTGATTATTTCACTTTTCACGTTTCATTACCGAGCTTAAAATTCACCATCATTATTCACTTATCACACTCACGATGACTTCGACAATCTTTAATCTTTAATCTTTAATCTTTACACATTATTTATACACAGTAAAAACATAAGGTAGAAAAAATTAGTTTTACATAATAATGACTAAAAATTCAAATCCTTACATTATGTTAACTTACATTAATATGCCACTTAAGAAAAATCCTGGTTTCCATGAATGCCGTGTTTAAAAGTTATGGCAGAGAAGGCGTTTAAATTTGTTTAATGAACCAGACTCTC